TCACCAGCAGCAAGAGCGACATCATTGATATACACAGAGAATAGAGTCGGCCCGAGAATTGAACCCTGTGGCACCCCCATAGAGACTGCCAGAGGTCCAGACAACAGGCCCTCCGATTTGACACATTGAACTCTATCTGAGAAGTAGTTGGTGAACCAGGCGAGGCAGTCATTTGAGAAACCAAGGCTATTTAGTCTGCCAATAAGAATGCGGTGATCGACAGAGTCAAAAGCCTTGGCCAGGTCAACAAAGACGGCTGCACAGTACTGTCTTTTATCGATCGCGGTTATTATATCGTTTAGGACCTTGAGCGTGGCTGCGGTGCACCCATGACCAGCTCGGAAACCAGATTGCATAGCGGAGAAGGTACGGTGGGATTCGAAATGGTCGGTGATCTGTTTGTTAACTTGGCTTTCAAATACTTTCGAAAGGCAGGGCAGGATGGATATAGGTATGTAACAGTTTGGATCTAGAGTGTCACCCCCTTTGAAGAGGGGGATGACCGCGGCAGCTTTCCAATCTCTCGGGATCTCAGACGATACAAAAGAGAGGTTGAACAGGCTAGTAATAGCGGTTGCGACAATTTCGGCGGCTAATTTTAGAAAGAAAGGGTCCAGATTGTCTAGGCCAGCTGATTTGTATGGGTCCAGATTTTGCAGCTCTTTCAGGACATCAGCTATCTGAATTTGGGTGAAGGAGAAGCGGGGGGGGGGGGGGGGCATGGGCAAGTTGCAGTGGAGGGTGCAGAGCTGGTGGCCGGGGTAGGGGTAGCCAGGTGGAAAGCATGGCCAGCAGTAGCAAAATGCTTATTGAAATTCTCGATTATCGTAGATTTATCGGTGGTGACAGTGTTTCCTAGCCTCAGTGCAGTGGGTAGAGAAGGGCCTTGGTCAGGGAGGTGACCAAGAACCCAATGGTCACCCTGACGGAGCTTGAGACTGCAGAGAAGAATGGGAGAAACTCCCCAAATACATGTGTGCCAAGCTTGTAGCGTCATACCCAAGAATACTTGAGCCTGTAATCGCTGCCAAAGGTGCTTCAACAAAGTACTGAGTAAAGGGTCTGAATACTTATGTAAATGTGTTATTTCCGTTTTTGTATTTTTAATACATTTGCAAACATTTCTAAACCTGTTTTTGCTTTGTCACTATGGGGTATTGTGTGTAGATTGAGGGAATTTTTTTAAATCAATTTTAGGAGAAGGCTGTAACGTAACAAAATGTGGAAAAAGTCAAGGTGTCTGAATACTTTCCGAATGAACTGTATGTGCCAGTTTGCCGTGTATGCTCCATATTTTGTGACGCTGCACTTTTTTAGAGAAGGGAAAGCCCAACTATATTTAGCCCTGAAGATGGCGGAGAAGAGGGAATCTTAGCGGAGGAGTAAAGCATATTTCCCCAGAGTACCCTTACTGAAAGGCAAAATAGTCCATCACTCCCGGCTCAGATCTCCCTAGACGGCTCCTAGCTTAGATTTAATGTACTATTTTTCTGAGCCTCTCTCCAGATGAGAGAAACTGCCAGTCGTGTTGCGTTGGGGGCAGAAAAAAAAGATGCTGTCCTAGCTTATCACTGGGATAATGACACCTTGTCTGTCCGTTATCACAGTGTGAAATAACCTTTCTATCTTTAGTGCTCTCTGCCAGCCACTTCTGCTGCGGCTGCACTACAACGGGGCTATTCTTAGCTCAGAGACTATTGAATAATGCATCCGGGTGCACTCCTCTCTCTCGCCCACTCTTCTGCAAAATGTGTGTTGTTGAAGAGAAATGGTGGGGGAAGGGCGATATACAGTAGGCCAGAATGCAGGAGATGTTTTTTATTTTGAAGGAGAGTGGAATTCCAAACATATTCCTATTTTCATGACAGGATAGGAGAGAAGCAGGGAGACAGAATAGAGGGAGCAGAAATGTGTAGAGTTCATGCTGGGATAGTACTGGGATCCCCACTGCAGGGGAATCAGGCCTATATGTTTCCAGAAGCGAGAGCGTTACACGCTTGACCAGACTCCGGGCCAGCAAGAGATGTGTTTTGCGGAGAGCTGGGTTATTGTTACTGCTCACTGCAGTCTGGCTGCCTTCTCTTGGCCGCCAATTTGTGGTTGAAGGATAAAAGAGAGCTAATGCCTGCTGCAACCGCCTACTCAAGGTTGACTTTCCTAGTATTATTTTATAGGCTGTATGTTATACTACTAGGGATTCAATCCAAGCGGGTTAAAGAGCAGCGCACTACAGACCTTTAATGGTAATTTACGCTTGAGCACAGCATTTACCATGAATGCGATCTCTGCGAGTGTTTGGGGAAAAATGCCTTTAAAAGGGGTCGTCACTAGTTAACACAGCCACAAAGTCATAAACCCCACCTATTTCTACAATTTATCTTCTTAAAATCTGATTTTAAAACTAACCTTAAGCCTAACCACACTGCTAACCTTATGCCTAACCCTAACCTTAAATTAAGAAAAGCAAATTTTTGTCTTAATGAACTTTTACGGTATAGCCCCAATTTTGACTTTGTGGGAACCTTTTAAAGGGCACATTGGCGGCTGTGTAGTAGGCCCGAGTTAAAGGTAATTTAGGCTTAAGCCGACATGCACAGCATTTACCATGCGATCTCTGCGAACTGCTGTGAAAAACTCCCAATTGAATCCAGGCCACAGTGTTTGTAAACTCTTGTGCTGACAAAAATGAGCTATTGTAGGACAGTGGGTAGGCTACCTTATACACCTGCAGCATATACTGCATATTCATCCCATGTTCTATGTTCAAGAAAAGTAGACTTTCTAAACTGTACTGTATTTTAGACAGCTGTCCTTCGGTCAATATAGGCCCATATAATATAGGGTAGGAAACATCAAAACATTAATATTTTTATGAGCCCTCAGTCTCTTGAATTTACCTTTGCAAATCCCCCAAGTTAAGATATTATTTGTTGCCAAGAAAAGTACATGTTTTAATCTACACATACACACAGCTATGATTAGGCAGGCTTACACTGCAACATAATACCCACTGAGGTGTACTGTAGTAACGGTTCCCCAGGAAGAATCCATTGTAGTACATTTCCACGAGAAACTTGTTGCTAAGCAACCCATCGACCAGGTCAATATCATGGTGGTATAGCGTCCATTCTGGCTTTGAGAGTGATTCTCCATTTCATCTGTTGAAGATGTTATGCAACCACATCTGTTGGAATGCCTTTCTCATTCACTCGCACTGGAGTGGCAGATGTGGGATATAGTTGGTGGCTCTTGTGTTGTGAAGTTCCTTTTTTGGTGATTGGAAAGTAGACTGACATGTTCACAAATAAATGTCTTAGACAAAACAAGCTTGATATGAAGTGGGCAGATATGACACAGGATTGTGTATCCGTGACACAACTTTACATAAATTAATGTAGGCTACAATACAATTTATTGAAGAATAGTAGCCCTAGATGTTAAACATAGGCACTTTGTAATTTGTGCATTCTGAGCTTGATCTCTGAAAATACACAAATAACATGGGCTAATATTATTTTTCAGTGGAAAATTAATCTATCAGACAATTTTCTCTGAATATCTAATTAATGAATTATTCTGCAGTATTACAAGTCGCAAGTCTAAGATTTCCTGCTGTTTTAAATGTCATTGAAATTATTGATATACCTATTGATTCTTATAAATGTATTAATGCAGTAGGCCTATAAATGTATACATGCACAACTGACTTAGCCTACCTCATAACCCAAACTCAATAATGTAGCCTGTAGGTTTCATAACCTACATTTAATCATCTTGTAATGATCCTATTAAACACGTTTTGTCATTTTCTTGAATACAAGTATGATTACTCTGTATATTTGCATTGCATTATTAGCATTTACCATTAGCATACTTTGCTTATAAATGTTAGTGTTCCAGCACCTTCATCATCTTTTCAGAGGGAGAGAGCAGCAAGTGGCGAGGTCAACGCGTGTGGCTTCAGGGGGTTTGACCTGACTCAGAGCGTTGGACTTTTAAAGGTTTGAAGGTTTGAAGGTGGTCTGGGGCAAGGCGTGCTGTGAGGTTGTGTGGTGCCCTCTGTCTTGATACCTTCATCTTTTGGGCGGTGGGTTTGCCGCATGCTGTGTGGAGCTGACCCCTATCTATTATTGATATTAAAGTCTTTGAAATGTTACCAGGCACAGGTGACTCCAAAGTCAGCGCCATTTGGTTTATGTGGATTGTTTGAAGCTTTGATAGTGAGGTATAAGCAAACATGAATTAGTCATTATTTTGTATTGTATGACTCTGTATGATCTTATTAATATGCAATCATTATTAAATAAAAAATAAAATAAAAATCTGATTGTTTTATTACCAGTTTGAGATGTAGATGTGTAGCTACCAATATCAGAAGTACATTTTGATAGGTGAGTGAAGATAGTAAATAAAGGGTAATTGTAACCTATTTTACTGTAGGTAAAAAAACAAAAAAACATTTGAATTGAACAAAAGAAGCAGCTTTGTGAACATGAGAAATGTTATTGTCTGAATAGCGATGGGGGATACCGTGAGTGGGAATCTCGTATGCACCTCCTCCCGACAACAAATTATGCATGCAGTCAGAAAAGGAGGCAGGCTCTCCTGAGTAGCACATCACGACCCAGTTCAAAAAGGGTGCTGCGTGTGTGTGTCGCGTAGACTGCAAGGGATGACAGTGAAGCGAGTAGCTGCACAGGCAACAGCAGATGACCGTAGAGCTAGTGTTTGTTTCTAGTCTCTCTTTTATTTCAAGATTTGAGACAATAGGATAAGGCATCCAGAGCTCAACAGTAGTATACCGGAAAATACAAGAAATCGCACGTCTGTGGGTATTCCAGATGTGGGGAGTGCCTCTACCAAAGCATCATAGTCGGGGTTTAGACACGAGATGGAAAGACGGGGAGTTCCCCAATAGAACAACTACATTGAGAAGAATTGATCCGGCGGACTTGGTTTAAAAGTCTACTTCTTGGATGTTGACGAAGCTTGAATCGAACATGGTTCAGAATGTGGTTCTGGTGTTTTTTCGCAGGAGACTCAGCCAGAGACCAAATGTGGAAGAGTTGGAGAGTCGGAATATCCTAAAACGTGAGTTGTAAAACTGTATTTCTATTTTAATATCTGCTCTTTTTATATATATATTTTCATTAAGCTATGTGAAATGTATGCGCAATTTCTGAATGAATCTACCAAGGTAGACAAAATGCCTACATAAATGTATTATGATAAATACATTCACTCATGTAAAATTCAGGAGACGAGCGGAACAGATGAGCGCACATTGTCTTTCAACATACATAACCTGACTTGATGTTGGCGAAAATGTTGGTGATGTTGGGAATGGCATTCTCAGGAGTCAGGCCATTTTATTAGGCTACTCAGTCAAATGGGTTGAGAAATGTGTTTAGAATACTGAGCAACAGCACATATTATTTTGGGTAGGCTACAGCGTTGTGTTTCTCTTACATAAGCAATTTAATTTAGAGTTCTTTGGGAATTTGGATCTGACCCTCAGTGGAACAAGATTTACAATCCTGTAAGGAATTATGTTTTAAACTTTAAAATATATCCCCATGGATTATACTTCATTCGTAATGTCTGAAGCCTAATCGGTGTCTCTACAGTCACAGAGTTGAACACAGTGGGACACTCGTTCACCAGTAGATAAGGTTTAGGGTCAAACAGTGACATCACTGTTATGTGGATTAGAGGGAAAACCGTGACGAAAACAAGTGGCATCATTATTGGGAAATGTGTTTGCCAAACAATCAAGTGGTGTCTTTGTCATATCACTCATTATTTTCTTCTCCTTGGTTTACAGAGAGAAATGACCAGACAGAACAAGAAGAGAGGAGGGAGATCAAACAGCGGCTCAACAGAAAGGTATGTTGCACCATTATTTTACTCATTAATTACTTATTATTATTATTATTATTATTATTAGTGTAATAATACACCATTACCATAATGTAACCTGCTGACATCGGATTTCTTCTGACTAGTACTTGTTCTGATTGTATATTTTTTGTTAGTCTCATGCTGTGCACTAGATAAATATTTGGATAAGAACATATAAATATGCACATTTGTCCTAAAAGACCTTGTATGGCAAAATCGTTACTTTTCTGGGAGCAGCATTTCAATGCAAAACCACGCATGAATACAGGAAAAAGCCAAACATGGCCAGCTAATGTAATCCTTATTCAACCAAACACAATGCCTGTCAAATGACTGTACTCATTCATACCAATGCCTCTCCGTTCCCATTGTGTATTTCAGCTCAATCAGCGGCCCACAGTTGACGAGCTACGGGACCGAAAGATTCTCATCCGTTTCAGCGACTATGTAGAGGTGGCCAAAGCTCAGGATTACGACCGAAGAGCAGACAAGCCCTGGACCAGGCTCTCTGCAGCCGACAAGGTGTGTGTGTGTGTGTGTGTGTGTGGAAGAGTGTCATCTGTGTCAAAAACAAGGATCCCTCCTGCAGCATCTCTTCTATTTCACAGTCCACACAAAATTCACCACTTAAAGTGACTGGCACATACCCTTATCAGAGCATGTTGTGATGCAAGTTATTGTGACATAGGGCCTATTTATTAAAGGCCTAAAAGTATTGAGTTCTGGAACTGTGAAAACATACTGTTGTCCTGGCTGCCACCTCCATAGCACCAGCATATCTCACTGTTTTCTAGCTAGCTAGCTTCAGCTTGCTTTATTTCTCACTCCATATCTCAGACCATGTCCTTGTGGCTAAGACCTTGTCGTCTTTGTTTTGTTTACCACTCTCTCTCGAGCTATGTGACAATTTTCGTGGGTCGATGTGCGATGTCCGCCTCCGCTTAAGGATGCTCTGTAGTCTAACGCTCGTTTTCTACCTCCACAGGCGGCTATCCGAAAGGAGTTGAACGAATTCAAAAGCACTGAGATGGAGGTGCATACCTCGAGCAAGCACCTCACGAGGTAAGTGGGTGTGTTTGCTTTTATTCTCCGCTGCGGCTGCCTCTATCTTTAGCTCCCCAGAGCTAAAGATAGATGTGTGTGCTTAAAAGGGGGAGGAGGGGAGTCCTTGCTTACCTTCCCGGGGGCCTGATATCGGCAAGAGAAATGACATGTTGTCTGTCCCAAGTAAGCATGTGCGATAAACGAAGGTCCTCCAGTCAATTTGTAAGAGTGACTTAGGAAGACAGCAGCCCCACTCCCCTGGCACACAAAGCTGTGCTAAAAATAGCCCGAGATTGATGAATAGCTGTAATCATAACTGGAGTGATTACAAAGGCACCTTCTGCGCTCACCCGCCCCCCCCCCCCACACTCTTTCCCCTCCCTCTCCTTCTGTAGGTTCCACAGGCCGTGAATACGAAGGGGAGTTTCTTCTGTGAAGAAATAATGCTGAGCCTAGAACTTTCGGTTGCTGCGTCGGCGGCGGTTAGAAACTGCCGGAGCTCGGAGGCCATTCTTCCAGAGCGCAGTCCTTTGTCTGCAGGGTGTCCTCAATTCCTCCAGCGTGCCCCTGGACTTCGTCGAAGGGAGGTGGACAGACGGTGATGTTTGGGTGTGTGGCAGTGAATACCGGAGGCTGTGTCTCCAATGTGGGAGCTGACTGGAGGAAGAAGACTAAAGACAGAACCTCGGACTCCGTCTATCTGCCCGTCGGTTAAGATGGAGCTGAGGGAAGAGCAATGTACTTCAGTCTGTGTGTGCGTGTTTTTTCAAACAGACTCCTTTGAGAAGGTGGCGAATACGTACAGGGAAGATGACGTTGTGCATGTGACCAGCTTCACCTTTTCTTTTTTTGAATAACGTGTCACTTGGGGGGAATGGGGAGGCTGGGAGGGGACTGTGTGGTCGGTTGGGGGTGAATTTCGTACCAATTGTATATATGTCAATCTGAACCGGACTGTCAATGTCTTCACTCAAAAGAGAGAACCTTTGTAAGCACCACTCGTCTTCAAAATACAAGGTCTTAAAAAAAAATATGATGCATCTTATTTTGGTAATCAGCATTTTAAAAAGTATTAATAAATGGATTGCTAGGTAGCGGAATAGGTAAAAGCATAGCCTCGATCCAGCCTTCCCCTTTGTGTTGCTCAGAAAGTAGCAAGATACCATAGTAAGCAGAGTGAATGTGAGATAATATAAAGCAGGGCTCTCCCACCCTGTTCCTGGAGAGCTACCGTCCTGTAGGTTTTCACTCCAACCCTGTTCCTGGAGAGCTACCGTCCTGTAGGTTTTCACTCCAACCCTGTTCCTGGAGAGCTACCGTCCTGTAGGTTTTCACTCCAACCCTGTTCCTGGAGAGCTACCGTCCTGTAGGTTTTCACTCCAACCCTAATCAAGCGCACCTGATTCTAATAATTACCTAGTTGATAAGGGTCTTTCTATAAATATGGGGCCAGTGTGTGACATCAGGGTAAACATTTCAAAATGGTTTGAAATACATTTAAATATGATTTTCTTGCAGCTTCACGTGTAGTTACAGGAATAAATGTCTAGGTAGGCACAATAAAACCATAACTTCACCAACAACAAAACATATACATGTCACAAGAAACATGGACACCGCATGTTTCTTTGTCATGCCTAGTTGCCAGGTCTTTTTGTGCTTTAGTCAACTTCTCTATCATTTATAGCCATGCTAAACATTCCTGAAGAATGAAAAAGATAAACAACATCATTTCTATATGTTTTAATAGTTGATATAATAATATAATACAATAATATAATACAATGGGTTCTGTCAACAAAATCATTGACAATAATAAACAATAATGAAATCCTTATAATCAGTAAACTCTTCAAGCATTGTGTGTGAGTCTGTGTCTGAAAACTAGCCGTCAAATTCTTGCTTCCTCTGTCCTTGTTTCCTCCACTCCTTGCCTCTCCTTGAAAGTGCATTGTAGCCTGAGGACAGGAACCTTCTCTCCTCTCCCCCAATGTGCTGTGAGAGGGAGGTGAGTAATGGGGGAAGCAAGGGGAGAATCTCAATTGCATTTCCTTGATTCCTCACGTCCTCTATCCTCGCCTCCGTCTCAAAACCCATTGGATAAGAAGATGAGTGGGGAAGGACCTCTGACCTTCTCATCCAATGGGTTTTGAGAAGGAGACAAGGAGAGCGGATGCGAAGAATCAAGGAAATGCAATTGATATTTCCCCAAGGACAGAGGAAGTAAGTATTTGACAGCTATTAAAGCCCACATGCAGCCTTTGTCATTTTATTTTTTAAATCATCACCGTATGTCTAATAAATCACAGTGTGTTATTTAATGAAAATAACGCAAATATTTTTTAAATCATTTATTTCCCTGAGCCTCCTTTGGCCCTTGAAATGCTCAGTCTGATCATGTGGGCGTTAGGAAACAAATGTGAAGATATTTACATACACAGCCCTGATTGGCTGATAGGATGGTCTAGAGCCCACGCATTTACCCAGATGAACAGTCATTGGTCTATTATAATCAGATCACATTGTTGTGATGTCAAGATGTGGGCAAACAATTCCATCCCACCTGAACAGGCTGAAATGTCAGTGTTTTTTCTTTTCTTTCAAACAGCTCTTACAAAAAGGGCAATATCATAATTTTCGCAATTTCAGAGTGTTATTTCGACCTTATAGTAAGGCAGGGATGATACCAGTATTGCGATACTTGTTAGTATCGTGGCAAGGAAACAAAACACTTAGCGAATTTAACTTCTTTAGGAAAACAGCCCTAATGTTGGAAACAAACATCATTATGTTGTCATCCAGAGTCACATTTATTTTACCAGCTATAGCACACAATATTTTACATACAGCAGGTTTTTAACGGACTGCTCAGTGTTAGAATTTTTGCCGTGGAAAAAATATTGTGATACTGATATCAACCCGGTCCTACCTCATAGTGTGTGTGGAAATATCTTTTTTTTTTTAAACTGTAAAATCACGTTTTTAACTGCACTGCCCCTTTAACAATGTTAGACAGTGCCAGACTGACTGACTGACTGAGCGCGCTACCATAATACCTATGGCCTGTCCAGAAACAACCCCTAGCCCCTACTGCTCAGAGTCTAGACACTTGTGGAGATCTGAAAGGGATTGATGGGTGGTGAAATGGTGAGAGCTGCACTTTACCCTCTGAAAGGCTTTGTGGAATTTTGGCGGTATTGCTTACACCTGTCCAATCCTCTCAGATCTCCACAAGTGTCTAGGGGAAGGGGCTATGGGTTGCTTCTGGACAGGACCCAACAACCCTCTGGGTATGTGGTGGACCTACAGCACAACTTGGGGCATTGGTTGGATGCTTCATTCCATTGCTATACACACATGAATTTGCACAGGTGCAAGCTGGACACACCCACAGCACCCTATCAGGCTGATCAGACAGTTCTGTGTAGCTGAAGACCTGCTGTAAACAGTAAAAGGATATATTTACTATTCACACCCTTGCTTCATTCCAGGTAGTTAAATGTGCAACCACTGACTAACTATAGCTAAGGGAATATCTCTAGTCTACATTTACATTTTAGTCATTTAGCAGACGCTCTTATCCAGAGCAACTTACAGTTTTAGTGAGTGCATACGTTTTTCATACTGGCCCCCCGTGGGAATCGAACCCACAACCCTGGTATGGCAAAGCACCATGCTCTACCAACTGAGCTACAGGAGGCCCCTCGCAATAGATACTGTTGTTTTGGCTGTATGGCATTATTGAATAAGATTACCAATGGTTAGTTAGATAGCTAGGATATACCAGTCAGCTAACCATTTACAGTAACAGCAGTCACACTAAATAATATTCCGAAATTGAGAAATTGTACTTTATCTTGGCACTGTGGCACGGTACGGGCAGCTATTAATCGATGAATTAATAGATTCATAGAATGGAGTTAGAAGGGTGAACTCCTACTTTGAAAGGACAGGAAGTGTTGTCTGTGCACTTAACCAATGACAGTAATTCCACATTTAACCCCACCCACATGTGAAAATGTAAATATCAAGTAGTTTTTTTGGTTTTATATGCAAAAACAAAAAACAAGCCAATTTTCAGTTTTTTCTATTTCTATTCAGAAACGAATAAACAAGCCGTTTTCACGTTCCCGATTGCTCCATTTTAATTCAGAAAACAAAATTAAAATGTACATGGACCGTAATCTTACCTCAGGAATCATGACAATGTTGTCCACGACATAGGCTAATTATCTTGACCACCGTAACAACATAAGACACCAAAATGTTCTGTCAATTCTCCAGATGAACATTAATTCCCACACTTTGGCTGTTGTTCAGTCACGTGCAGTATCACACCCGCTCTTTATCACTTGACTGTCATTCAGAAAATCCTTTCCTGAATCAGCTGATGTTACGCGATAATTTCCAAATGCAATTGTGCATCAAACAACTATTATGCATTATTAAAAAAACGTTAATGACAGTATCGATTTTTGTTTGATTCATCTTGTTAAAGTTAGTCTTTCTGTTAGAAGCATTGGATTTTGCAATCCCATACAATATTTTGGATATGTGTGCCCATGAAAACTGTTTTCACACCATAACATAGGGAGATACGAAATGTTACGAGGTTACAGTGCATTTCCGAGATCTCCATACAAAAGAAGAGTCCAACAGCAATATTCAGGAATTTTACAGGATAAAATTCAATGTGTAATTCAATTGTTAAATGCTTAGTATATGATATAATGACAAACAGCAGTATCATAAATGTAAGGAAAGAAAGGCAGTGTTTTATGTCACACGGTTTTTCCCAAATCTGTGAAGACTCCAAGCATGAGAAAGGGTTTAAACATAGGTTTTGATTAAACTCATTCATTATATTGAATGTATCTATGTTCCCCCTTTTATATCCTACTGTATTCACGTGACTTTGTAACAGCTCCAAACAGATGTCCACTACAAGAAATGCTCACTGGTACCCTAGTTTATAGAAAGACCCATAAACTGAATCAGGTTAGTTACAACTGTGGTTGGAGCGAAAACCTACAGGAGGGTAGCTCTCCAGGAACAGGGTTGGAGAGCCCTGATATACAGTGCATTCGGAAAGTATTCAGACCACTTTAATTTTTCCACATTATGTTACGTTACAGCCTTATTCTAAAATGGATTAAATTATTTATTTTCCTCATCAATCTACACAATCCCCATAGTGACAAAGCAAAAACAGGTTTTTAGAAATGTTTGCAAATTCATAAAAAATACAAAACAACGGAAATATCACATTTACGTAAGTATTCAGACCCTTTACTCAGTACTTTCTTGAAGCGCCTTTGGCAGCGATTACAGACTTGAGTCTTCTTGGGTATGACGCTACAAGCTTGGCACACCTGTATTTGGGGAGTTTCCCCACTTCTTCTCTGCAGGTCCTCTCAAGCTCTTGTCAGGTTGGATGGGGAGCGTCGCTGCACAGCTATTTTCAGGTCTCTCTAGAGATGTTAGATCGGGTTCAAGTCCGGGCTCTGGCTGGGCCACTGAAGGACATTCAGAGACTTGCCTCGAAGCCACTCCTGCGTTGTCTTGGCTGTGTGCTTAGGGTTGTTGTCCTGTTGGAAGGTGAACCTTCGCCCCAGTCTGAGGTCCTGAGCGCTCTTGTGCAGGTTTTCATCAAGGACCTCTCTGTACTTTGCTCTGTTAATCTTTCCCTCGATCCTGACTAGTCTCCAAGTCACTGCTGCTGAAAAACATCCCCACAGCATGAAGCTGCCACCACCATCCTTCACCGTACGAATGGTGCCAGGTTTCCTCCAGACGTGACCATTGGGATTCAGGCCAAAGAGTTCAATCTTGGTTTCATTAGACCAGAGAATCTTGTTTCTCATGGTCTGAGAGTCTTTAGGTGCCTTTTGGCAAACTCCAAGCGGGCTGTCATGTGCCTTTTACTAAGGAGTGGCTGCCGTCTGGCCACTCTACCATAAAGGCCTGACATTTTTTGGTACCCTTCCCCAGATCTGTGCCTTGACACAATCCTGTCTCGGAGCTCTACGGACAATTCCTTTGACCTCATGGCTTGGTTTTTGCTCTGACATGCACTGCCAACTGTGGAACCTTATATAGACAGGTGTGTTCCTTTCCAAATCATGTCCAATCAATTGAATTTACCACAGGTGGACTCCAATCAAGTTGTAGAAACGTCTCAAGGATGATCAAATACACTTTTTTTAAATAAATGTTTTAAAAAGTTTAATAAACTTAGGCAACCTTAACAGCAAACAAATAGCAGGCAACCTTGTACAGATAAAATGCCATTCGAACAATTTTCACAGAAATGCATTATTTATATTGAAAATACTACTCTTATGGAGAGACCGTTAAAACCATAAAAGCTATTAACAGTGTCAAACATCACTGCAATAATAAATAAATAAATCTCAAATAAATATGTTAATATAAATTTTATCATTTTTAAATAAGGCATGTATATTTCTTTAACTTATGCTCAATATATTACATTTGATTGCCGTAAACGTAGAATGACGGGCAAACTTCACGGAACACAAACATATCTTATAAATGTGCAGAGGTACTTGATTTGGGTTTAAAAACTTGGTCCCTCTGGCAGGAAAAGAGCCTGAAGTCCTCTCCTCACACTCAGTATCTCCTCGTCTTGCTGAGGAGAGACACACAAAAACACAGCCCTCAAATACACTCGCAACACCTCAGGGGGTGCAGTCTCAGTCGGCGCTAGTCAAGGCAGCACTTTGAGTAGGACTTTCAAAAGAGGGACCTCTTTAATAACCCATAAATCTAAGCCCTGTCTAAGCTGCTATTAGCCCATACAAACGCATTGAATAACAGATTCACTACATGGAACAAAAGATAGTCCCCCCCAAAAATCTAAAGGAAGTTTGTTCTGAAGTGTCTGTCCTATATCTGAGAGTTATAAGAAAGGTCAGGAAACCTTTATTTTTACAAGTCCTGTGAGGCCTGAGGGCGTCCTAGAGCAAAACAACCGACGTGTTCGTGAGAGTCTCACCTTTCCACAGAGGGGTCATATTAGTGTATAGCCCAAACTGTTCGGACACTACAGACAGAAGTTGGCATATCAGCTGTACCGACTTCAGACGAGTCCCAAGACTCTTGTGGGGGTCGTAGAGCCTCATCTTTCCATAGGGGTCATTATAGATTGTGGGCCGAACCGTTCGGACACTACAGAAGACTTTGTGAGATTTTCAGGATGTCTCATGATCTGACAAACACCGCTCTAGCTCTGTCACATTTTACTGCAGATGCGGAAGTGCAACATCGGCGGATGCGGTGAATTGAGATGCATCCATTGCAAAAAACAGATATCTCTAGCTTAAACTGACTGATTTTTTTATGGGGATGTTTTTATTATGCTAATAAGATTTCCGCGGGGGCGCGGACATCGACTCTAGGGGGATTTAATGCCGTGCGAGTGAAAAGAGACATGTGGGTCTAATTGTTTTTTAGTGTCTTGCCCTAGTCACAACTGTCATTTCCACTCACCATTTCCTTAAAGAGTCTGTCCTGAACTGACTTCATGTCTTTCCTCATCAGGCACATCTGAAAACAGCGGGTGACAAAACACATTTGTTAAGGTTTGAACTCTTCACAGTGCCACACGGTAGAGTAGACTGAAGAGAACATGGGGATAAGCATAATGCCATACTGCACAACATGGGACTGAAATACTATTGCTTAAAACTGAGCTCAGATCAGCCGAGTTTCAGGTTTAAAAAAAAACCTAAACATTGTAACAGGTAAGCCTGTGAGACAAATAACCAAAATGTATCAAAACATAAGGTGACATGTACTTTAGATTTTGTGGGTCGGCTGTTCCTCTTTCCCTATTCTCTGTACTTGTGCCGTACGGAATTGTTATGTTTATGAACAACATAGAGGGCTGAAGTTTAGATGAAGTAGGGGGCTACAGTTTAGATGAAGTAGGGGGCTGAAGTTTAGATGAAGTAGAGGGCTGAAGTTTAGATGAAGTAGAGGGCTGACAGTTTAGATGAAGTAGAGGCTGACGAAAGTTCTAGATGAAGTAGGGGGCGGCTACAGTTTCTGAAGCTTAGATAACGTAGGGGGCCTGACAGTTTAGATAGAGTACGATGGCTGAAAAGTTTAGATGAAGAGGGGGCTTACAGTTTAGGATGAAGTGAAGTAGGGGCCTCAGTTAATGAAGTAGGGGAAGTTTAGGAGTAGGGGCTTGAAGTTTTTAGATGGAAGTCTGGCCGCTAAGTTGGATGTCCACACCTGAGAGGTGAAGATCCTCTCCTCGTACTCCAAGCTGTGACACACATCGGTTTGGAAGGTGCTCTTGAGGCTCTGTAGTCTGAGGGCAAAGAACGAAATGTAAAAAAAAGAGCACACAAAAGAGCAAATGAGCCATGGGTGAGAGAAAGAGCGAGCGGGAGACAGAGGGAAGAGAAAATGAAATATTAAAATACTAAATCCATACCACTTTCACATTTGTGTGTTTTTTTGGTGTTGTGAATAATAAAGAATAATGAGGGACATGAATGTATCAGGGGCATGACCTCACAGTGGTGTTGCACTGTTTAAAGTAGAGAAGTCAGGGTTAGAGCTGGGACGATAAACCGAAAATTATCGACACTGACCATACCGATCACTTATCGTAGGCATTTTGCTGATTTCGTTCATTACGATAAGTAGCCTATACTGGAGAAATGTAAAGTTTGAAATGAAATAAGTTTGCTAATATGGGTGATTGTTATTGGGACAATTGATGGCTACAACAATCAAACTAGTAGCAGTAGTAGTAGTTTAAAGGATAAAAAACAAAAATAGTGCACAATGTTATAAAATCCATAAATTATATTTATCGTTATCGCACCAATTCAGGCAGTTTTTCGCAATATGGATTTTTGTCCATATTGCCCAGCTCTAGTCTGTATTCACAAAGTGTCTCAGAGAAGGAGTTCTGATCTAGGATCTATCCATATAATTGTATTCATTATGATCTAAAAGGCAAAAACTGATCCTAGATCAGCACTCCTACTCTGAGACGCTTTGTGAATACGGGCCCAGAAGTATCTTTTCTGTGTTTTCTCACCACCTAATCTAATCTTTGGCACAATTCATAAATTGCTTGATTGGGGTCAATTCGAATTGAAGTCACTCAATTCAGCATGTGATTTGAATGTATATATATTTTGAAAGACAAATATAATAGCTTCTCCTTTTCAGCTAAACGAGAAGTAATTGAAAATACTCAATTTTTTCCGATTACTGAATTCAAATTTCAATTACTTCCTGAAATTGACTCAATTAAAATAGACCCCAACCCTGATAAATTGCATATAGCAAATTTTTTAAGAACTTTGACCCAGTTTGAGATAAGTTTGAGATACTGTCCTTTAGTTCTACACAGTCATGTGAATAGGCATGCTATGACCACATCCCGGAAAAAACAAATAACATTAACAACAGAGATACTTGTATTTTTGGTCACAGTTAATTTCCCCCAGGTTAAAAAAATGATGCAATGTGTTATGTTGTCCTTTTGAAATGGAGCAAGGGATGACAAGAGGCTAGATTGCAATCTTTGCAGTGTGTCCATTTGAGCGGGTGGAACAAAATGTCCCCACCTGGGACTTTTCACACACCCTGAATATGGCAGAAAAAAAAACGCACACACACACTCACCTTCTAGTCTCTTTCTCCTGGTAGGAGTGGAAAGCCACAGACTGCTTCCTCCAGTATGTCTAAGGGGAGAGAAGTGAATTGATAACACTGATTAAATCAACATACAGTCAACTAAAGCCTGGGAGGGTTTCCCATAGACAAACCAAACGTGAAAGGGTTGTGTTATTGGTTATACCGGTATACTGCATTGTCAGGGAGGTCTCTTACTATTAAGTACTGTTAATGTAAGAGTTCAACAACGTTAAATCTGTTGGGCTAGGTTGGTTTACCGTTTTAAAAGGAATGCAGATATCCATATTATACGGGCCCTGGTTAGTTTCCACCACATACATGCGACCGAACGAGCGTCTGCTAATTGACTACAATGTCAATGTAATGTAAGTAACCCTACAGTCAGTTCCTTCTCCATGTTCTTTAGAGTGGATTCGTCCTCCTCCAAGTTGTTGATCTCATTCAGCAGAACGCCCTTGACCTGTTCCAGCTTCTGAGACCTACACACACAGACAGGGGAAGGAGGAGGGGAAGGGGGAGATCGAGGAGACCAAGGGAGATTGCATGTCCACAATCTGTCACAGAGAGAGATTGACATGTTCTTGTATACTACACAATGCAATCTTTATTGGTCGATTATACAGAGACAATGGACATTTGGTACATTTTGCTGTCACAGTACCCAGCCCCACCACACACAACATACACAACAGGCTGGGAGCAGCACAGGGTCAGCCACAGAGCAGCGCCCCTGGAGCAGGTAAAGGGTTAAAAGTGCCTTGCTCAAGGGCACATAGGCAGTCAGTGGCACCTGAGATATTGATGTCAGTAACCCTGCGGTTGCCAGCTCACTATGTAGTGTATACTTGTGTACTAACTGACCTGTAGTTGTGAACTTGCACGCTGATGGAAGAGACGTGCTGCTGGACGGTCTTCAGAGACTGCTTGGTGTACAGCTCCATACGCCTGGAACGATTCTGACACACGTAACAGAGGTAAGTAGAACATATTTAGGGTCTCCCATAGAATACAAAATCCTCATCACACAAAGGCAAAATCACCTTTAAGTGACATCAAACCAAATATGGAGATGATTTGGCCAGGAAATTATAACAATTGCACACATGCCCCATTCACTTCCATTGATTGTTAGCTAGTGGTGGCTAAAGTTAGCTGAAGATTGTAGTGGCTGTTTAGAGAAAACTGAACCATGGATTACAGTTTCTCCTGGCTCATTGGCTACTTTCAAGGTAAGGAATCATCTAACATCAAGTTGTAAAATCCTGAATTACCCATTTAAAGGCCTATGGCACTTCTACAGGGGAGCTACACTGGGGCCTCACGAAAACAGTAGGTTTTTAAAAAGGCAGTGGCTGTGGATCTGGACCTTTCTTTCTCCGGAGTAAAGATCCTGACGCTTCTGTGCATGTGTTTCCTTACCTCTACTTCATGCACACATTTTTGTGGTCGCCTTCCCTTCACATTTGAATGATAATTCTTGAAGTTTTACCGGTGAAACGTCCATGGAGCATCTGCATACCAACCATTTGATCTCAATCCGTTTATGGGGATATGCATTTAGATCTTCTTGAGTTATACAGTGTTGTTTCGAAAGTAGCCTACAGCAGTGCTTCCTCTGGAAAATGTTGTAGCAGTGGGGGAAAAGGTATCGGGGGAAAAGGTATCGGGGGGGTGTCCCTCCCCACCTTGTTTTGGAGGCCCGGGGTCCACCCTGGATCATTTTTTATGTAGGTCTGAGAAGCTCAGTTCAGGTTACTTTTTAAAAGGACATTTTCATCCAAAATGAATTAAAATAAAATGATGCTGACACCATCTAAAATATAATTTCCACCTCCAGAAATGAGCCCAAAAACATATTGGTAAAATTATTTGTTATAATTATTCCTTAGCTAGATCCCAAATGTGATCCTTTAAAGGTCCAAAGCAGCCGTTTTTATCTAAATGTTTTATCATTTCTGGGTAACTATTAAGTACCTTACTGTGATTGTTTTCAATTAAAATGGTCAAAAATAAAGAAAAATAACTTCTTAGCAAAGAGCAATTTCTCAAGGAAGAATTTTGTAGGATTGTCTGAGAGTGGTTTGAAGGACGAGGGGAAAACTGAAAACTAGCTGTTATTGGCAGAAAGGTTTGGAACTCTCTTTCTTATTGGTCTATTAACTAATTTACTGCCTGGTGATGTCACCGTGGAAGGCCAAAACTCCCTCCCATCAAAACAGGCTGAAATATCAGGCGGTCTTTTCAAACAGCTCTTACACTAAAAGGGCATTATCATCAATGTCTTTCTTGGAAGTATGATATTTGTGCGTCTGTAACTTTCTCACTCATCATTATTCACTATTAATTCATGACTATCCATAATCATGGTAGCATCCACATTAATGTAGAAATGTTTAGAAACATATTCTCCTGTGAGTTTGTGTCCAACCAAAGAAATTGATTTCCTTCCCATTGAAGTCAACGGGTCAGTGATGGGTGGACCAGCGGCCATATTGAGTGTACCCATTGCAGTAAAGCAGGAAGTAAAAGCAGCATTCTATTTTCTATGGGTCCAACCTGGAATTTCCTCTGGAGCTCGGAGCTGAACTGGCGACACACGTTGCCCATGTCGTGAGGGGGGCGACCCAGCTCCCCCTCCACCTCGGCCTCCATGTCCACGTCGGCCTCCCAGCTGGACGACGTCACCATGTGGGACGACACCACCCGACTCAGGTCCCCCTCCGGAGAAACGTCCATGACTAGGGACGACACACAAATGCAGGCATATACAGTTACGAACACACACACATGCAGTCATGAACAAACCCACAAAGAGGCATAGTATGTTAACAACAGCACCCACCCCATCTGACACACATATCTACTGGATGTGCAGGTGCGTCCTTCTCCAAACTTCAAACTGCTCAATGAGTTAAAGCTGCAATATGTAACTTTTTGGGCGACCCGAACAAAATCACATAGAAATCTGAGTTATAGATCTGTCAATCTCATTGAAAGCAAGTCTAAGAAGCTGTATATCTGTTCTATGTGCACTATTTCTATGCTTCCCGTTCTTAAGTTTAGTTTTTGCATCTTTTACTTTTGGTTTTGTACACCAGCTTCAAACAGATAAAAATACAATATTTTGGTTATTGAAAAGATATTTCAGTGGTTTAGATGCTACAATGATTATCTACAATTGCTTGTTTTGTCACAAACTGAAATTAGATGAACTATTAGAATTTTAGCAACCAGGAAATGGCAGAGCGATTTTTGCATATTGCACCTTTAAGATAAATATGGCTGTTGGTTTGACTAATCATTACTATAATTATGAGTTCAACAGCAGTGCCTTTTGTGAGACCTACGGCTTGTTCTGAAAAACCATGTGGGCGGGTGGAGCTGTTTGTCCTAAGGTTTTGTAGATCGCTGTACCCATAGAGATGCATCACATTTAAGTGTTCTATTCAATTCTATGGCTGTACCTGTGTCACGAGCGCTCTTGCTACTCTGGATGTGATGATATCTTTTCGTGATTGCCCGCGAGGCCCTGTCCTTTGTTCCTCGTCCTTTCTTCTCCTCTTCCTCCTCTTCGTCAGAGCTGCTCTGTTCCTCCCATGCCTGGGCCTGAGCGTGGAGGTTGGGCTTGGCTGCTGAAGTGGATGGAAATAATTGAATGAAAGAGAAATTAGTTGAATAAAGGGCTATTTTATGAAGTGAGAACTGGTTCGCCAATTATGAGAACACATGAAAAGCATATATTGTTGAATAAAAGTATAATAATTTAAATGTCATTCTCACTGGGTTTAAACAGTTTCCTGGGCCTCATCTTGACCGCCTGCCCCCCTCTTCGTGTGCCCCTCTTTCCCTCCTCCTCCTCCGAGTTACTGGGCGAGGGGCGGGAGTTGTGGCGCTTGCGCCCGGAGCAGGGGCCTGTGAGAGGGGAACCAAACGATTGAACCAGACCAAACCAGTAGAGCCCGACCTATAAACTGGTGGACTGATATTATCTGCCTATTTAATGGTTGCCTGAAGAGGGCGCTCTACGATCTGCTCATTGCACATCATTCAGCCCTAAATCACGATGTGAGAGGGAGTAGGCATAGTGGTTTGACGGTGAGTAGCTTGCCACAGCCAGCGACAGCGTATTTGAACAAGTAAATTATAAAAAGTACACTTCACCAACCAAGCACCCCAGGGGTGTAATCATTAGCCAAACAGTTGCACAACTAAAATTATAGTTTATTTTGGACAAATGCAGGTAGGTCCCTCCCCGTTTCATTCCGTTTAAGAAACTTTTTTTTTCTCAACAGAATCGACATAATGAATACGCCCCTGTCCTCATCACATTTTCACTTAGTTAACGTTAGCTGGCCAGTAATGTAGTTAGGCTCTATCTAGCCAGCAAGATACTGTAGTTAGCCTAGCTCAGGGGTCTCCAACAGGTCGATCACGAGCTACCAGTAGCTCGCAGCCAACCTATGAGTAGCTCGCCAAATTATTTTGAAAGTACATGCACTTCTCACATGTTCCACTGCAAACTGTCATAAAGAAATCTCACAAGTATCAGACACCGCAAGCTCCCAGCTACTATCTAATCAACGCAACATTATCCCACCTCTGGATTAAAAATTAAAAACCTAACACAATATCTGCCAATTAATTTCCAGCAATATTGCCCCCGTCTGTCTTTGTGGTGTGCACGTTTGTCTATCACTCCGTGTGTAGCCAGTTGATGTGATAACCGTCTTGTTGGTTAACAGAAATGCTTTCACTAACACCTCATTTAAATGTTAACTGCAAAGTACCGGTAGGCTTAACCTGGCAGAAGTATATCATAAGTAAGTATATAATTTGTATCTATTATTTACAAACTTTGCCATGAAATTAGCAGCAGCAGAACCATCGCTAGACCAGCAGATTAGAAGGCACATTCCTCACTTGCTAGAACGTGTGTGACTAAAACCAGTGTGGCAAGCATTTTCCGGCATTAACGTTTTCAGTCATCAGCGCATGTCATTTGCAGTTGAAATATATAGCCAGTAGACTTTGTATTGAATAACAGTGTCATTTACATTATGGTTTCAGCAAGAAAACATTGTCGCAATGAACAGCTAGAACATGCTTGTCATAACCGTTGAGCTATAAAATAACATAACACGCTCTCATTGCAAGGTTGCCATAGAGTGTCTGTTTCCATGACCTCTGTAAAGCACTGTAGTGAATGCTCTCAATACAAATGCTGACGCTGACACCTCTTGGTGACATTAAAACTGCATGTTACTGCATTTCACTGCATTGGTTGTGAACAGTGCAGTTTCAGATTTACTTTGTTTAATTCATTCAGCTTCTTGTTTATTAGTGTGCTTGTAGTGCTTCAGCACAAACACTTCTGCATTCTTATCCACTGCCATAGACACATGTTTAAATTGTACCTAAGAAGGTAAACTGAACATGTGTTTTGTATTTACTTTGATATTTATATTTTCTGTGCAAAAACATAATAATATTCATTGTTGGACATAAAACACCAGGAAATCAGCTCCAAGTGTTTTTAATTTTGGAAATCTGTTCCCAAGTTTTCCCACGCATAATAGAGAGACAAGTGATCGTATACAAATGTAAGCAAGGTTTGAAATGATTATGTTTTAGTAAAATATTATATCTGTTTGGGCTTATTGAGGTCAATTTGCAGTCTATAACTTATCTGTAATTATGTTACGGCCCCCCGACCATCCGCTCAAGAAAAAATTGGCCCGTGGCTGAATCTGGTTGATGATTTTTCATTCCACCTCTAAAAAACAATATATCGGCAGATATATCGGTAATTGGTAACTTTTGCCTCCCTAAAATCATTATTGGACCCAGAAATCCCATATCGGTCGGGCTGTAACAAACCAGCCTAGACCATATGATGCTAAATTACAAGTTTAGCTGAAACGACAATTTCTCCCCATCATTGTTACCGCCCATCTTTCTCTTTGTGGACACAGGTGTTAATAAGAGCATTTTCTTTCAGGGGGTTACAGCTGTGGTCTTTTACCTGACAGGTGAAAGCTACGTTGGTCCAGCTTGTGCCCTCGCTCAGAGTATGGAGTTTTCTAGGGGGAAACACAGTCATTTGTTAACCCAGAAGTTTGCGTTACAAATATGGCATTAGTCCAATCCTTTTGACCAGAGCCCCATGGTCATAAATTGTGCACTACATAGGGAAAAGGGTGCTATTTCAGACGCAGCCCTAGAGTTATTTCCTGCTTATGAAGGGTTCGGGCAGACACTTTAAATTAGTGCCTCCTACCCATAAACCCTGTTTCCCGGACACAGATTAAGCCTAGTACTGGGCGAAAATGCATGCTCAATGGAGAATCTGCATTGAAATAACTTTTTAGGACTAGGCTTAATTCTAGCATACTGGCCCTTGGTATCCGTACCTCCAGTGCGGTTGTCAGGGCTGCCGGGTTGACCACCTCCACTCGGGTCGATGACATCTCTGACCTGGACGAGGACTGGCTCAGCTTCACTCTGGAGACCAGCGACTCCTTGGCGAAGGACTCGGGCAGGCCCAGCTGGCCCGGGGAGCCAAAATGGAGGGCGAATTGATCCGTCTCTCCTGGAGAGGGCTGTGACTGGAGGAGAGGGGAGGGCAGCGTTGACATCTGCAGGGCCGTGGAGGTCAAGAGGGGCTGGGAGGGAGGGGAGAGGAGGGGACACTGGGCCAGGGAGAGAGCGGGCTGGATTGGACTCAGCTGGGGTTGCAGAGAGGAAGAGTGAGAGAGAAAGAGAGAGAGAGAGAGAGAGAGCGAGAGAGAGAGAGAGAGAGACCGAGAGATGTACAGTATGTGGGAAGCCAATAGGGATAGTTGGTCTGGTATGTAAGTAACTTAGGAGAAAAATACTGGTTATTCGCTTAAAGCTGCCAACAAAAGGTAGTTATTAAGATTATCACACCTACTTACAGCAAAATTGTAAAAAATTATTCTAAAGGTCTCACAAGTAACAAATTATGAACGATGGCGTTCAATCAATTCATCCCAAATGATGAGGAATAGCCAATCGCTACAGTAGAATCACATCTGTCACAACAGTAGTAGACATTCTCATTAAATGTAACAATGTTGCATAGGGTGAATATAGTAAATACATATTTGGCAGCGAGAGAGAATCACAGCCATAGCCTACAGTTCACTCTACAGTTTTCGAAACATTTCCATGCTATTGTGCAACATGCATGTGTAGGCTACGTTCTATTAGTACCAATACCAGCTGCACACACAGCACACAGTAGGATGGGGGGAATTTACATGAAAGTTGTTTCCGCGGGCTACGGTCACACTTCCTCAATTCAACAACTCTCGAGTAAAAAAGACACCTATAAATTCCACCTCAAAAGTTGTCAGACGAGATTTTGTCACATCTTTATTTAATCTACTGTGTTATTGTATTATTTAACTCTGTATGCATTGTTTAACGGGGGTAGGTGGGGTTTTTTTTCACTGTTTGACTGACGAATTTAACTTCTGTCGATTGTGGGAAGAAAATCGATCAATTTCTCCAACTGTTTCTTTTTGTAGACAAATACAGAAAAATCCCAATAAACAGAATATGTATACAGTATATATATACAGTACCAGTCAAAAGTTTGGACACACCTACCCATTCCAGGGTTTTTCTTTATTTTTTAGTATTTTCTACATTGTAGAATAATAGTGAAGACATCAAAACTATGAAATAACACATATGGAATCATGTAGTAACCATAAAAGTGTTAAACAAATTGAGATTCTTAAAAGTAGCCACCTTTGCCTTGATGACAGCTTTGCACACGCTTGGCATTCTCTCAACCAGCTTCATGAGGTAGTCACCTGGAATGCATTTCAATTAACAGGTGTGCCTTGTTAAAAGTTAATTTGTGGAATTTATTTCCTTCTTAATGCGTTTGAGCCAATCAATTGTGTTGTGACAAGGTAGGGGTGGTATACAGAAGATAGCCCTATTTGGTAAAAGATTATGGCAAGAACAGCTAAAATAAGGAAAGAGAAACGACAGTCCATCATTACTTTAAGACATGAAGGTCAGTCAATCTGGAAAATGTCAAGAACTTTGAACGTTTCTTCAAGTGCAGTCGCAAAAACCATCAAGCGCTATGATGAAACTGGCTCTCATGAGGACCGCCACAGGAAAGGAAGACCCAGAGATACCTCTGCTGCAGAGGATAAGTTGATTAGAGTTAACTGCACCTCAGATTGCAGCCCAAATAAATGCTTCACAGAGTTCAAGTAACAGACACATCTCAACATCAACTGTTCAGAGGAGACTGCGTGAATCAGGCCTTCATGGTCGAATTGCTGCAAAGAAACCACTACTAAAGGACACCAATAAGAAGAAGAGATTTGCTTGGGGCAAGAAACACAAGCAATGGACATTAGACCAGTGGAAATCTGTCCTTTGGTCTGATGAGTCCAAATTTGAGATTTTTGGTTCCAACCGCCGTGTCTTTGTGAGACGCAGAGTAGGTGAATGGATGATCTCCGCATGTGTGGTTCCCACCGTGAAGCATGGAGGAGGTGGTGTGATGGTGTGGGGGTGTTTTGCTGGTGACACTGTCGTGATTTATTTAGAATTCAAGGCACACTTAACCAGCATGGGTACCACAGCATTCTGCAGCGTTACGCCATCCCATCTGGTTTGTGCTTAGTGGGACTATCATTTGTTTTTCAACAGGACAATGACCCAAAACACACCTCCAGGCTGTGTAAGGGCTATTTGACCAAGGAGAGTGATGGAGTGCTGCATCAGATGACCTGGCCTCCACAATCACCCGACCTCAACCCAATTGAGATGGTTTGGGATGAGTTGGACCGCAGAGTGAAGGAAAAGCAGCCAACAAGTGCTCAGCATATGTGGGAACTCCTTCAAGACTGTTGGAAAAGCATTCCTCATGAAGCTGGTTGAGAGAATGCCCAGAGTGTACAAAGCTGTCATCAAGGCAAAGGGTGGCTACTCTGAAGAATTTCAAATATAAAATATATTTTGATTTGTATAACACTTTTTTGGTTACTACATGATTCCATATATGTTAATTCATAGTTTTGATGTCTTCACTATTATTCTACATTATTTTTTAAAAGATGTCAGAAGGCCCATTGGTGCAGTATCAGTCCTGTATCTTACCTCTAAGGCACTGGGTCTCTGGGCGCGGAGGCCAGGAGTCTTGCCAGTGGGAGTAAGGGATGGGAGAGAGGGGAGGGATGGGAGAGAGGGAGCCTTAGCTTTGCGGTCGCTCTTCCTCCCAGGGGCGCTGTAGAAGGAGGAGGGCTGGAAGCCCGTGCTGCTGCGAGGGTGTTCAGGGGGCAGGTCCAGGGCCAGGGCAAGGGGTGAAGAGGGGCCGCTGGCAGGGGAGGCGGACAGGGAGCCCAGCGGGGTGAGGGGCGACCGGGGTAAGGCTACCAGCGACCTCTCTGATGCAGCTACATGGGGGTCAAAACACAACCACAGATGCTCAGACAGCTGGCCAAGGTCTTTGAGGTCAATAGTACAGAGATACTTTTCCTCATATCCACTTACAGTAAATATGTTTTATATCTACTACACCCCTCAAATTCACATCTGGACCTTGAAGCCAGTTCCACTTCTTTTTTATTATTATTGCCCTCTAATCAGAAACTGATTTAGACCTGGGATACCAGGTGGGTGCAATTCATTATCAGGTAGAACAGAAAATCAGCATTACTTCGAACTTCGTATGGTAAGATTTGAATACCCCTGTACTACACTGAAGTTAGGGTTCGATTCAATCCGTAGCACTGAAGACCTGCGCTACTGTCGGATAGAAATGTAAAAGGGCAATGTTCCCACGTTGGCGGAGACTGCATTCACGGTAAACGCTGCATATGTCAGCTCAATCGCAAATGACCTTTAAATGTAAATCGCGCTACAGAGCTAATCTTCAGCGCAACATATTTAATTAAGCCCTTAGGTTTCTTAGACAGAGTGATTGCACCAGGGATAACTAAGGGGTGAATCCTAACTAAGTCACATTTTCACTTAGTCATGCATTGATGTCAATGGGAGAAAAAGTTAACATTTGCCAGCGATTGCGTAGTGCCAACAAAAAAATTACATGATCATTTTTTCAAAGATTGGAGACGGAACCACAGAATTTGAATCATTCTATGGATAGAATCCACAGGTCAACTGGTCCTTGGTTGGTGTAGGTGTGCTGGGTTTGCCTTACCTCGTATCCTCTCAATGGCAGGAGGGGAAGGAATGAAAGAGGCCAGCTGGGCAGTCCAAGAAGACTCTTTCGGTCTCGTCTGTTCCTTGGCCGAGGCGGTCGTCTTTTTCTTCTTCACCCCGACAGCCTCTTGACAAACCTTCTCGCTCTTTTCCGCTGATCCGATGGAGCGCTTCTGTTGGGAGAAAATAATCCCATAACATACTTTTAGTACAGTTGTTACTTTTATTCCAAGTTGCTCAGGTAAAAAGTGGTAAAAACAATTATCCATTATTTACTCCACCGCAACTAATTGTATTGTGATCTGATTGAATTTAGTCTGCCAGCTAAACAACTAAAATATAACGTAGTGTAATGTAACTGATTTCACCTTTACTATTGGCTACCAACCAAAATATAATTATATGGCTAGGAGAAACATAAAGTCAACTCATAGAGCCCATAGAGATACATTGCCTATATTATTTAATGAATACATTATTTAATTATTCTATTTAAATCAGTGATAGCACCTAATCATAAAGAAAGGGCAGATGTGTGAGGGAGGAAGGCAGGACCTTAGAAGTGGGCGTCTCTTCAGTCTCTGATTGGCTGGCGCTGTCAGGCTCCCTGTAGCTCTTGGCGTTGGTGGCAGCGGCTCTCTGGGGCCTCCTGGCTGCTTGACTGGTCCCTGCCGCCACCAGTGCCGCTCCGCTGTTCTCTTTCTGCTCTGCACTTCTCTCCTTTACCCTCTGTCTCTTCTGAAAGGCAAGCATGACACACTGTGGCCGACTGGGGCAATGCTCACTGATGCAAGCATACATTCCATTGATTTGGATGGGGAAGCCCATTTTAGGAATCATATTTCTAGGTTGCAACAGAGCAGTAGTAAGGATGAAAGGTCGATGAACTCATTTTGGATTCTAAGGTTTCAAGGTACAAGGCTGGTTCCGATTCCCCATCCCTTCTCCCCGAAGTGCGCACATGCTCATTGAGATTCCCCCTCTGATTTAAAACTATTGGATTGTCAGTCTCACCTTCTTTGGCTTGGCTTTCTCCTTCACATGTTTGGGTGAGCTAGGTGGTAAGTCTGGGGACTCATCTAAAACAGAGAAGAGAAGAGAAGAGAAGAGAAGAGAAGAGAAGAGAAGAGAAGAGAAGAGAAGAGAAGAGAAGAGAAGAGAAGAGAAGAGGAGAGAGAGAAAAAGTTATTAGCATACAGCTGCCAACAAAAGGTTGTTTCCAAGATTATCACACCTACTTACAGCAAATCATTCTAAAGGTCTCACAAGCAAAACATGATGAATGATGGTGTTCAATCAATTCATCCCAAATGATGAGGAATAGCCAATCACTACAGTAGAATCACGTCTGTCACAACAGTAGTAGACATTCTCATTAAATGTAACAATGTTGCATAGGGTGAATATAGTAAATACATATTTGGCAGCGAGAGAGAATCACAGCCATAGCCTACAGTTCACTCTACAGTTTTCAAAACATTTCCATACTATTGTGCAACATGCAGGTGTAGGCTACATTCTACTAGAGAGTTCACTCAACACAGCATTCGTACAGACAGACACAGACTGATTAAAACTATAGGACCAACCCAAACCATACAGTGCTGGCTTGGATATTTTATTTTCACATTGTCCTTAAATTTCCAGCACGTACATGTGGTGTCGGGGGCAGGGTTGTGGAGCCGGGGCTGACGGCTGTAGTCGATCACTTTGGGCTTAGGCTTCCTGCTGGACTCTTTGAGCCAGCTGATCTCCATCATGGCGTCTGTGTCTGTGTCGCTGAACAGGTGCTTCTTCACGTGGCACCGTGGAGCCGCCACCTGGAACCGTAGAGACAACTCAGTGAGGTTCACACACACACGGGTACACATACACAGGTTTACAAATGTACACATACGCACATACCCAGTCTCACACACACACACACACACACACACACACACACACACACACACACACACACACACACACAGACAGGTATATACACACACACACAAGACAAGAGTACAGACACCTTCACACACCGAGGTAAGAGAACCACACACACACACACAAAAGGAGGCAGTCTCCATCACATTGTGTCAATTACAAAGTGTTTGCCTCCATACCTTGACGGCTGGGCCCTTCTTGGCAGTGCTGGGGATTACCCAAGATTTCTGGATAGTACTGGAAAGAAAAACAGCACTGAATCACGCATTGACTTGACAGATTATTTTTACCGCAACACTAGAGGGCGATATTATAACACAAATGGGACCCAGGGTCTTTCTCAATTCATCATTCCTTGATTCCTCACATCCTCTCTACTTGCCTCCTTCTCAACCATATTTTAAGAGAAGCTCCCCAAGGTCCCTCCCCACGGACGGCTTCTCCATTGCGTTTTGAGAAGGAGGCGAGGAGAGAGGATACAAGGAATCAAGGAAAGACGAATTGAGATAAGAGTCCCAGTCAGATGTAACCAAATGAGTACTGCCTTCAAATGGCTCCTACCTGCTATCAATGTCAGAGCTGTCCAAGGACGTTTTCCCCTTCCCCTAAAGAGAGCAGAGAATTAGAAACCATCATCCACTGGTGCATGAGAACAAGCAGAAATGGCAAACAGACCTGGGTTCAAATACTATTTGAAATCTTTCAAATACTTCAAGCATTTGCTTTAGCCTGCCTGGAGTGCTAGGTGGGCGTGTTTGCACTTTGGGGACTTTTCTATTGGTTCCATTGCAACAGGCAAGCTCAATCAAGCACAGCTTAGGTTTCTGAAATTATTTCACATAGTATTTGAACCTAAGTCTGCTAACAAATAGTAGGCCTAATTCATTAATTGGATTTACGTAGATCAAATGTACATTTATTTACCCCAGTGGTAATAGGTGTGTCCGCTTTGAATGCAAAGACGTCCTCTCTACACAAAGAAACAATGGATGAAATCAACAATACCATGCACAAACAGGAAATAATAATCAACATTTTAGGGAAGGGATCAGGCCAAGATAATACAACAATTATAAAACATCTGGATTTTGTCTAAAGAATAGGTCCATTTCTTTCATATTTGAATGGAGGATGTCCTGATAAAAATTGCTGATTAATCAGATCCCTGAAATTTAGATTTTGCTAAATTCATTTTTCAGACAAGTTGCCATGGGTTATTATCAAATATAAGATACACTGGTTGTGTTGCACCATGGGGAGAATTTGAATGAAACTGGACAAAAAGCAATACCCTTGTTGATGTGCAGAGGGCTTCTTGGAGTTAGTGTAGGACTTCATATATCCCGGGGCCTTTGCCGTTCCCACCTATGGGGGAGAGAATTCAGTCACTAGATTGTGAATGCATGTGGGGAAAACAAGTCTTATGCAACCCTAACAAATCCTACAAATCAAATCAAATTTTATTTGTCACATGCGCCGAAAACAACAGGTGTAGACCTTACCATGAAATAATGACTTACAAGCCCTTAACCAACAATGCAATTTTAAAAAAACAGAGTTATGAAAATATTTACTAAATTAACTGAAGTCAATGTGCGGGGTACAGGTTAGTCGAGGTAATTTGTACATAGGGGTAAAGTGACTATGCATAGATAATAAACAGTGAGCAGCAGCAGTGTAAAAACAAAGGCAGGGGTGGCCATTTGATTAATTGTTCAGCAGTCTTATGGCTTGGGGGTAGAAGCTGTTATGGAGCCTTTTGGACCTAAACTTGGAGCTCTGGTACAGCTTGCTGTGCGGTAGCAGAGAGAATAGTCTATGACTTGGGTGACTGGAGTCTTTGACAATTTTTTTGGCTCTCCATGGTGCAGCTGTAGAACTTTTTGAGGATCTGGGGACCATGATAGTTTGTTGGTGATGTGGACACCAAGGAACTTGAAACTCTCGACCCGCTCCACTACAGCCCTGTCAATGTTTAGGGGGGCCTGTTCGGCCCTCCTTTTCCTGTAGTCCACGATCAGCTCCTTTGTCTTGCTCACATTGAGGGAGAGGTTGTTGTCCTGGCAACACACTGCTAGGTCTCTGACCTCCTCCCTATAGGCTGTCTCATCATTGTCGGCAATCAGGCCTACCACTGTTGTGTCGTCAGCCAACTTAATGATGGTGTTGGAGTCGTGCCTGGCCATGCAGTTGTGGGTGAACAGGGAGTACAGGAGGGGACTAAGCACGCACCCCTGAGGGGCCCCAGTGTTGAGGATCAGCGTGGCAGATGTGTTGTTGCCTACCCTTACCACCTGGGGGCGGTCCGTCAGGAAGTCCAGGATCCAGTTGCAGAGGGAGGTGTTTAGTCCCAGGGTCCTTAGCTTAGTGATGAGCTTTGTGGGCACCATGGTGTTGAATGCTGAGCTGTAGTCAATGAACAGCATTCTCACATAGGTGTTCCTTTTGTCCGGGTGGGAAAGGGCAGTGTGGAGTGCAATTGAGATTGCGTCATATGTGGATCTGTTGGGGAGATATGTGAATTGGAGTGGGTCTAGGGTTTCCGGGATGATGGTATTGATGAGAGCCATGACCAGCCTTTCAAAGCACTTCATGGCTACCGACGTGAGTGCTATGGGGCGGTAGTCATTTAGGCAGGTTACCTTCGCGTTCTTGTGCACAGGGACTATGGTGGTCTGCTTGAAACATGTAGGTATTACAGACTTGGTCAGGGAGAGGTTGAAAATGTCAGTGAACACACTTGTTGGTCCACGCATGCTCTGAGTACACGTCTTGGTAATCTGTCTGGCCCCACGGCCTTGTGAATGTTGATCTGTTTAAAGGTCTTGCTTACATCGGCTACGGAGTACATGATCACACAGTCGTCCGGAACAGCTGGTGCTCTCTTGCATGCTTCAGTGTTGCTTGCCTCGAAGCGAGCATAAAAGGCATTTAGCCCGTCTGGTAGGCTTGTGTCACTGGGCAGCTTGCGGCTGGGTTTCCCTTTGTAGTCCGTAATAGTTTGCAAGCCCTGCCACATCCGACGAGCGTCAGCCGGTGTAGTAGGATTCAATCTTAGTCCTGTATTGATGCTTTGCCTGTTTGATGTTTCATCTGAGGGCATAGCGGGATTTCTTATAAGCGTCCGGATTAGTGTCCCGCTCCTTGAAAGGGGCAGCTCTAGCCTTTAGCTCGGTGCGGATGTTGCCTGTAATCCATGGCTTCTGGTTGGGATATGTACGTATGGTCACTGTGGGGACGACAACGTCGATGCACTTATTGATGAAGCCAGTGACTGAGGTGCTATACTCCTCAATGGCATTGGATGAATCACGGAACATATTCCAGTCTGTGCTAGCAAAACAGTCCTGTAGTATAGCATCCGTGTCATCTGACCACTTCCTTATTGAGCGAGTCACTGGTACTTCCTGCTTTAGTTTTTGCTTGTAAGCAGGAATCAGGAGGATAGAATTATGGTCAGATTTGCCAAATGGAAGGCGAGGGAGAGCTTTGTACGCATCTCTGTGTGTGGAGTAAAGGTGGTCTAGAGTTTTTTTCCCTCTGGTTGCACATGTGACATGCTGGTAGAAATGAGGTCAAACGGATTTAAGTTTGCCTGCATTAAAGTCCCCGGCCACTAGGAGCGCCGCTTCTGGATGAACATTTTCTTGTTTGCTTATGGCCTTATACAGCTCGTTGAGTGCGGTCTTAGTGCCAGCATCGGTTTATGGTGGTAAATAGACAGCTACGGAAAATATAGATGAAAACTCTCTTGGTAGGTAGTTTGGTCTACAGCTTATCATGAGGTAATCTACCTCAGGCAAGCAATACCTAGAGACTTCCTTAATATTAGACATCGCGCACCAGCTGTTATTGACTAATAGAAACACACCATCACCCCTCATCTTACCAGAGGTAGCTGTTCGGTCTGCTACCATGTCCTGCTACCTAAATTCATACAATTAAAAGGAATATTACTTATTCTGTTTATCAATCAGAAAACACCTCAGGCACTCACCATCGACGGCGGCAACCAACTCTTCTCAAAAACAGATCTACCACAAAGGAAAGACCATTTTAATTATTACACCATTGCCAGGGATTGAACCACGGTCTCCTTTGGGGGAGGGAGTGTGTAGTCCTTATCACAATGCAAATTGTTTAACAAACATCCATCTGTAATAATAGCCATTTTATTATATTCTCTGATAAAACTGACTTAAATTTGACCGCTAAGATATTTTATATTAAAAGATTTCCACAAATCTGCGAATGGTGGTCCTCAAGAGCTTTTGACAGTGATTTGGTGGTCCCCGGAAAGGAAATGTTTGGGAACCGCTGCGCTAGACCAAACTCCTGCACATCATTCTACCATGTTATATGTTCACTTGGTTTTGTTTCCTGCAGTACCTGTTGCTGCAGTACCTGTTGGTGGGTGGAAGGGGCCAGCGAGGGACAGACTCTACAGGGGATTTAGTGGTGGTGGATGTGCTTTTCTCGTAGTGGCTGGAGATGAACTTCATCATGGAGCCTGTCACCTCCTCCTCTCTCTGCAGAGGATGAGGGGAACACGTGAGAAAGGGTGTTTATTGTTATTATAACTCCAATCTTACTACTACTATTACTACTACTAAATTTGAGACACTGATAGATAGACAGTGCTATGAATGGTTATACTACTGTGCCATTGTGAAAATGCAAGGGAGCAAGGTGCCACCCGTTGGCTACAGTTCATTGCCTCCATTTAATAAGGAAGCTCCAACTCGGACTGGGACGGGGTATTCAAACAGCTTTGCATCAAGCTAAATTTCCTATTCAATTGCTCTTAACACTCTATATCCTCACCTTGTCTTTACTAGAGTTTGACCCGGTGGCCTTAACCTTGGGGTTGGGTGTTGCCCTCTCCTGTAGGTCTTTAGCTGGGGTGGGTTTGACTGGGGCTTTTCCTGGGGTGGCTTCAGCTTCCTGAGACTTCTGGCTCTTAGATTTCCCCTTGGTCTGACCAGGCCTTCCTGCATCCTGCAGTAACTCTTTGGAACCTCTCCCAGTGGGCTCACCTCGCTCCTCAGGCCCTCTTCCTCCCTGGGCTCCACCTCGCTCCTCAGGCCCTCTTCCTCCCTGGGCTCCACCTTGCTCCTCAGGCCCTCTTCTTCCCTGGGTTCCATCTCGCTCCTCAGGCCCTCTTCCTCCCTGGGCTGCATCTCGCTCTTCAGGCCCTCTTCTTCCCTGGGCTCCAGCTTGCTCTCGGGACCCTCGGTCCTGGGCCACACCTCGCTCCTCAGGCATTCTGATCTGGGCTCCAGCTCGCTCCTCGGGCCCAGTACCCCGGTCCCTCTTGCGGAGGACCTCCTCCAGGCGCTGGGTGAGCTGGGTGTGGAGCTGCTTGTGGCCGACTGCTGACCCAGGGACCAACCCAGAACCTCTCTGGGCAGACGACGGATGCTCCTGTTGCTCTACGTTCTCAGGTTCTGGACACCGGAGGGAAACACTTTCAGTAAGACCTCAAAGTATACACAGCTGAACGCTCTACCATAGACGGCTAGTGCGGGTAGCTAATAAACGGTCGTCTTTTAAAACCATGGCAGATGGCAATGTTCTTCTGAGTTCTCCAAATCGAATAATATTGTCTGTGTCCGAATACCCATACTAGCGTATTACATACTTAAACTGCATACTATGTACTCATCGTCACATACAATTTAGCATGTACCATTTAATAAAAAGTATGCAGTATGCCACAGCCACAATGCAGTAGCGGCTCCTGACTGGCTGAGTAGGTGGGGCGGGGCCGAGTGCGGGTGGATTTTTCCAAATTCAACAGACATGCATCGCATTAACCAGCCTGATAATGGCTCATTTCCAATTCGATTAATTTCTCTAAACTCTGAATAGAATCGGAATGGGGTTATAGGCCTACTCAGGCTGGTTATAGGCAGACTATCACATTTGACCTATACCGTAGCCCATATAGGTCATCTATCCTATTTAAAAAGGACTGAAGACAGAAACTAATCATTTGGTTCCATTTAAACATATTTATTTACATATATAAATTAAATCAAATAGCCTAGTACACACACCAAAACTTTTCAAATGGTCAAATCAAAAGGCTATTGCACAGAAAAACATGATGCAGTCGGGTGCATCGCAAATTCAGAACCGCTGGACAGCAACATAATAAACTAAAGCACTGATCATTGGGAAAGAGATCAGAAAGACTGCGAAGGCTTGATCCATAAATTAAATAATTAAATACATAGCATAGCCTACAAAACTAAAACAATCCATATGTTCAAATTAGGGCTGGGCGGTATACAGTATTTTACGATATAACGGTATTGATGCATGGACCGGTTTGGGTTTTTACTTTACCTTCTATAACGGTATTTGAATGTTTGGTTTGTTAAAAGGGATACAGCGTATGTAACGTCCATTTTTATAGTTTATTTCACTACTTGAGTCATTTCTCTCCGCTCTCTCTCTCTCTCTCTCTCTCTCTCTCTCCATGCCGCTTTCCACACAGACCTAGCCCCGCCCCATCACTCAAGGAGGGCATTTGTTGTTCCTCGACCACGAGACACTTGCGTTCAGTCTGTATGGTCAATGCAGCACATGCAACAATGTTGATGACAATGATGCTTTTTTCACTTTGCTTCTTAATATAAATCCACTGGTGTTCTAAAACTACACTATTCGTTTGTGTTTCTTACATCTGCAAACAGCTAGTTTGTCTTTTCTTAGCAAGTTGAGCCTAAATCTTGTTCGCTGCTAATGCTAATCGCTAGCTAGCTGGCTAGCTGATAATACCAGTGATCGTGTAGACCTAAATCAGCATATTGTTTGTGCAACAGTATATTCTAAATCAAAGAGGAATACACAAAGCATGAATATGTTAGCTACATGAAGTAGCTAAGAGAAAACATTCAATGTAGTCCAGGGTTCTTCAATTCCGGTCCTGGAGGGCCGAAACACCTCTGTTTTTCATCCTCTCCTTCTAATCAGGGGCTAATTCAGACCTGGGACACCAGGTGAGTGCAATTAACTACCAGGTAGAAATAAAAAACAGAAGTGTTTCGGCCCTCCAGGAATCGGAATTGAAGAACCCTGATGTAGTCAGACTATAGGGTCCCCTAGAAAACACTTGTCAACACTTTGGTTCCTACCCTGTCACAATAACTCCTCCCTGGCATTTTCATTCTTTGTCATGTCAAACAACTGTATTCAAAGTGTCCACTATTATATTCCAACTATAACATTTGAATAATCATTCTATTTCCATGATTCCAACAGTTCACCAATGTGTTTTGCTCTAAATCTCAAGTGAAATCGCAATTGCAACATTTGGTTAAAATAAGGCCTAGATTGTTTGCCCATATCGTGCAACCTTACGTGGCAGTGTGGAAATTATCTTAAATTAGTGCAGGAAATGCAGAAATTGATGAAAATGCTGAAAATTATTTTGGGTTGAAGCTGAATTGAACAGTATAAAACAATCAGAATGGAGAAAGACCCATTGACATCACATAGAATGTATGTGTTGCCACCCTAGGGTCACATACTACTCATAAAGCAAATGTAGAACCTTTATTATTCAAAAACATAAAATACCGTCAATTCTTTTTAAAATACCGTGATATGATATTTTGGCGATATCGCCCAGCCCTAGTTCAAATCAAAAGGCCTGATTTACATGACATCAATAACGCAGCCACATCCAGAGTCCCCGGTGCAGACACATGCAGAAATCAAAAAAAGGTTTCGAATTTAGTTTAAAAGCTCTGACGAAGCCCAAGAGAACAATAAACACGTTTTCAATAAAAAAACAGAAATCCACTTTGGGTAAAAACATTCTGTTTTCAAAGATGTAGCCTACATACAGTACGATGCAATACTCGTGATCATTTTAAGGAGAACATTTGAACATCACCGCAGAAGCTGAACATGGTCGGTCAATCAACAATGGCCGCAGCGTGAATAAGGTCTATTGGAGACCCTGTGCATGCATGGTTCTTATGAGGCATTTCAGTAAAAGCAGCAGGTGTTATGAGTCTTTTGGTTAGTGTGGATTTAGTAAGCAGATTACTAAAGTTTACCAACCTACCTACTCATAAATGCTCATCTAAATTCAGTTACATACCGTATTCCTACCAACATTTTTATAATTATAAAAGTATTTATTTAAAGTCTAACTCTTTTTAACTAAGTAGGTCCTGCAAATATTGTGAAAATAATTGTAGAATACTGTAGAGGATTGGGAGGAGGAAGTACTTGGGGAAGATTACCTGGTTTGGGCAGTGCCTTCTGGAAGCCTCTCTGTACCGGCAGCAGCATCTCAGACACAGACACTTTCCTCCAGTGGGAGAATCTGTTCACACACACACAGGTGCACACACACACACACACACACACACATACACACACTGTTACATTGATATGTGGTCTAAAAGCTCCACCTTGAGTAAACATGTCTGAGTCAAAATCTTACTTTAAATAAATTGTGATTTGATTGACAGAGACATAAAAGTCCATGTACTTACATAGTTCTCTCTGTTTTCATGGTAGGCTGGGAGTCAGGGACAATGCTGCTGTCTTTTAGACGGAATGAGGGTAAAGGTGGGTTTAAAGACTGTTTACAGTCATTACATTTATGTTACATCTATGGGAGATGCGTTACATTGAAAATGTGAATGCCCAAATAACTGTCACAACCAGTCTACATTTTATTTTAAATTAAATTTAGTCATTAAGCAGACACTGTTATCCAGAGCGACTAAACAGTCAGTGCATTCAACTGAGGTAGAACAACCACATATCACAGTCATTGTATATATAGAAAGAGAGTGTGGAGAAACTGTACCAAGAAGCTCCTCTTCCTCCGCCTGGTCAGTTTGGACCATCTCCACCACTTTGTCCACTGGGATGTGCTGCAAGACGAGTACCGGTACAATAATGAAACTACTGCTACTTCACTACCTCCTGCTACTGCTCCTAGTTAGTCAGCTACAACTAATAATGATAGACCATAGCATTACCACTACAGATGCTACTACTACGACCATAGCTACAAATCAGGGTTTCCGTTAGGTAAATGTGGCGCCGGACAACGTGACCGGGAAGATTTTAATTTACCGGCCATTTGAGAAATGTACTGGACCCATATGCATTGGGTGCATAACTCATTATGGCGTCCAAACACAGTGCTCAGAATGACAGAAATCTGATTTAGATTATGGTAATGCGTCTTAACAGAACATGCAACTCATGTAATGAAGCAGCCAATAAAACATCATTTTCAAACATTTGCTAAAATGCAATTCGCGGGAAAGCACCATTCTAAACAGCGCACATGGGAAAACACCATTCTACACAGCGCACCTTATAGCAGTTCCATATGTGAGAGATTAAAATCTGTTAAAAACTTAGAAAGAGGGGAAATCTAAAGTTGCAACAACTAGGATGGGTTGATAATATGACTAGGATTGTGCCTTTGGCTTCTGGACAATGAAAGAAAGTTGATATGAAAACCATTAGAACAGGAGAGAAATGGCATAGCAGTGGGTCCAACAGGGAGGAAAATGGAAATACATTTGCCAAAATGATATAATTACTCCTGTCTATACTTTACCAAAAAGCATGACTTAGCCACAGAGGAATCAAGGATCATTAGCTTCTTTTAAAAAACAGCTGTGGATTGTTCCAAATCACAAGCTCCTAGGCCTATGCCTATTTGGGAAGCCCAAAATTTGGGCAGCACGCGTGGCAATAGGCCTAGCTGATTATTGAGTTGTGGCTGTCTGTGAAAAGCATCTAAAATACGTGTGAAGATAATGTGTCTTGAGTATAATTTAAAATGTTGAGACAAGAAGAAGGGGTGTGGTGAAGATATAGGCGAGTCTCGCTTCAGAATGGCTCAGCTGTCTTCCGCCAATTCTTGCGCATTCATTGTTTCATTGTGTGAATTGTTTGCCCTTAGATAAAAAAATTGTAATCAATTCCCCATTACATGTCACCAGAAGTAAATGTACCCATCATTTGGTTACATACATTTCTGTTAGTGCATGTATTCATAATTACAGTCATTTACCGTTCTCATTCTCAGAGTGTAAACGTTGTTTGCAGAGTTCACAACCTGCTACACTTGTGAGAAACAAGTTTTGGTTTATTTCATAACCATTATTTACGAGATTAGTTTTTTTTGTTTGGAGTGCTCCATGTAAGCAATGAGCATGTGTGGTTTTTCTGTCCTGATAATGTTGAGGGAGCACGTGCACCTGAGCACGCCTGCTGCACGGAAATGTAGGAACATTTTAGTTTTTTACATCCATTGCAAATTATAAATATATTAAATCTATAGTTTCTCACAGTAATCTATTTGAAAAATATTTCCAACAATCTCCCCCTTGATAATCACCAATCCTCGGTATGAAAGAGCAATTCAAGTTATAGGCCTACTGCTGCATTGGCCTATAGGCTAGGAGTTCCATGCGCTCATTTCTTTAGCCGCCAACGGATCACGGTGTATCAATGTGCCCATATTGCAGAGACTGGTGTTCTCACATTAGTTGACTTTTAACTTTTAGATTTTCATTATTTTGATTCAGATTTTTATGATAACCACGTAACAATGATTTCAGAAACGAAAACGTTATTATTGAAATGAAACTGTTCCACGAAAATTTGCATATGAAAATCATAATGGTAGAAATTGTAGGATAAATTGTAAACTTCCCCAAACTTGAAACTCACCCGAGCCTATGAAGTCTTTAAAAAAGAACTGCCTCCACGTTTCCATGTTACAGATTTTGCCTATAGGCTACTTCAAAGCAAGGAAAGACATGCCTCATAATATGTATTAAAACGTTCAGGTTTCAAACAATTAAGTATGTTTTCAAAATGCATACTGCCTCCAGCTCACATTGTAAAGTGGTGGGTGATGCGTTGATAGCATGTTGCCTGCACTTGAATGGTTAATGGGAGGCACTTCAATTACCAGTTGAGAAATAAAAATAGCAGCTCTTTTTAATCGTGCACCAAAACTGTTTTTAACACACGATTGCATTTAGAATTGTTGCACAATGAATGGGCTTATAAAAGCATGTTTTACTCCAGTGGCAACCATCTGAGGAGCTGCAGGAGAAATCCCGCTCAAAATAGGCTCTGTATGCTGTGCGCGTGTGATAGTTGCGTTAGATAAATAAGATACATGTTTAATTCCACTAAATTATGCTAATTAACTTATAGACCGATAAGCATGATGGTCAAATGTATTTCCATCGACTGGTATTTCCATTAATTAATAAAAAGCATTATTTTGCAATGGGATTTTCTTTCTCCCAGGTCATTTTGGCCGGCAAAAGTTATATTCATCGGCTTGTCACTTATTTTTTGGGGGCCAAAAGCCGGCAATTGCCGGCTAACAGAAACCCTTCTACAAATGTGTTATTATTATTCCAATATTACTATTGTTACTACTATTACTACTGATGGAATATCGCAATACCACTACTATTAGGAGTGTACTGTCCAGGACGTGTACTTGTACATAAAGCTGCCTCATGCTACAGAAACAGCAAATAGGCTCCTGTCCTATGGGCTGTTCTGGCATGGGACAAGGCTACCTAGAACTTACTTACTACTACTATTGATACAGCTACTAGTACGATTATCAATGAAAAACTGCTATCTGTTGTACTACCACTCCTATCAGTTAGGAGAAAGACCAGACCAACCCTGCGGTATTTCTCTGCCACAGGTCCAGCTCTGGTGTCCTGCTTGGTAGCTTTGCTCTGCGATGGAGCATCCATCTGATAAAAAAAAAAAGAAACTCTTAGGGGCAAATCCTAACTTCCACTCAGTCATGCATTGATGTCAATGGGAGTGATATTTCGAATGGCGTTGAAGTTAGGATTTGCCCCTCAGTGCTGCTGCCTATGCTGCTGGAGGGTTTAGTTTCCATCTACTGTCAAGTGCATTGCTCTAAGGGACAAATCCTTACTTCAACTTAAGTTGAATTTTCACTTAGTCTCCCACTGGCATCGATGTATTATTGAGTCAAAATCTGACGTAAATGGAAGTTAGGATTAGTCCCGAAGTGAGTATTGCAGTATCTACAGCGCCTTCGGAAAGTATTCAGACCCCTTGAAGTTACAGCCTTATTCTAAAATTGATTAAAAAAAAATATATATATATATATATATATATATATATATATATATATACACACACAGTGGGGAGAACAAGTATTTGATACACTGCCGATTTTGCAGGTTTTCCTACTTACAAAGCATGTAGAGGTCTGTCATTTTTATTATAGGTACACTTCAACTGTGAGAGACGGAATCTAAAACAAAAATCCAGAAAATCACATTGTATGATTTTTAAGTAATTAATTTGCATTTTATTGCATGACATAAGTATTTGATACATCAGAAAAGCAGAACTTAATATTTGGTACAGAAACCTTTGTTTGCAATTACAGAGATCATACATTTCCTGTAGGTCTTGACCAGGTTTGCACACACTGCAGCAGGGATTTTGGCCCACTCCTCCATACAGACCTTCTCCAGATCCTTCAGGTTTCGGGGCTGTCGCTGGGCAATACGGACTTTCAGCCCCCTCCAAAGATTTTCTATTGGGTTCAGGTCTGGAGACTGGCTTGGCCACTCAAGGACCTTGAGATGCTTCTTACGGAGCCACTCCTTAGTTGCCCTGGCTGTGTGTTTCGGGTCGTTGTCATGCTGGAAGACCCAGCCACGACCCATCTTCAATGCTCTTACTGAGGGAAGGAGGTTGTTGGCCAAGATCTCGCGATACATGGCCCCATCCATCCTCCCCTCAATACGGTGCAGTCGTCCTGTCCCCTTTGCAGAAAAGCATCCCCAAAGAATGATGTTTCCACCTCCATGCTTCACGGTTGGGATGGTGTTCTTGGGGTTGTACTCATCCTTCTTCTTCCTCCAAACACGGCGAGTGGAGTTTAGACCAAAAAGCTCTATTTTTGTCTCATCAGACCACATGACCTTCTCCCATTCCTCCTCTGGATCATCCAGATGGTAATTGGCAAACTTCAGACGGGCCTGGACATGCGCTGGCTTGAGCAGGGGGACCTTGCGTGCGCTTTTAATCCATGACGGCGTAGTGTGTTACTAATGGTTTTCTTTGAGACTGTGGTCCCAGCTATCTTCAGGTCATTCACCAGGTCCTGCCGTGTAGTTCTGGGCTGATCCCTCACCTTCCTCATGATCATTGATGCCCCACGAGGTGAGATCTTGCATGGAGCCCCAGACCGAGGGTGATTGACCCTCATCTTGAACTTCTTCCATTTTCTAATAATTGCGCCAACAGTTGTTACCTTCTCACCAAGCTGCGTGCCTATTGTCCTGTAGCCCATCCCAGCCTTGTGCAGGTCTACAATTTTATCCCTGATGTCCTTACACAGCTCTCTGGTCTTGGCCATTGTGGAGAGGTTGGAGTCTGTTTGATTGAGTGTGTGGACAGGTGTCTTTTATACAGGTAACGAGTTCAAACAGGTGCAGTTAATACAGGTAATGAGTGGAGAACAGGAGGGCTTCTTAAAGAAAAACTAACAGGTCTGTGAGAGCCGGAATTCTTACTGGTTGGTAGGTGATCAAATACTTATGTCATGCAATAAAATGCAAATGAATTACTTAAAAATCATACAATGTGATATTCTGGATTTTTGTTTTAGATTCCGTCTCTCACAGTTTAAGTGTACCTATGACGTTTTTTTACAGACCTCTACATGCTTTGTAAGTAGGAAAACCTGCAAAATCGGCAGTGTATCAAATACTTGTTCTCCCCACTGTATATCCTCAGCAATCTACACACAATACCCCGTAATGACAAAGCAAAAATTCAATTAATTGGACATGATTTGGAAAGGCACACACCTGTCTATATAAGGTCCCACAGTTGACAGTGCATGTCAGAGCAAAAACCAAGCCATGAGGTCGAAGGAATTGTCCGTAGAACTCCTAGAAAGGATTGTGTCGAGGCACAAATCTGGGGAAGGGTACCAAAAAATGTCTGCAGCATTGAAGGTCCCCACGAACACAGTGGCCTCCATCATTCTTAAATGGAAGAAGTTTGGAACCACCAAGACTCTTCCTAGAGCTGGCCGCCCGGCCAAACTGAGCAATCGGGGGAGAAGGCCCTTGGTCAGGGAGGTGACCAAGAGCCCGATGGTCACTCTGACAGAGCTCTAGAGTTCCTCTGTGGAGATGGGAGAACCTTTCAGAAGGACAACTATCTCTGCAGCACTCCGCCAATCAGACCTTTATGGTAGTGGCCAGACAGAACCACTCCTCAGTAAAAGGCACATGACAGCCCGTTGGGAGTTTGCCAAAAGGCACCTAAAGACTCTCAGACCATGAGAAACAAGATTCTCTGGTCTGATGAAACCAAGATTGAACTCTTTGGCCTAAATGCGAAGCGTCACGTCTAGAGGAAACCTGGCACCAAGCCTACGGTGAAGCATGGTGGTGGCAGCATCATGCTGTGGGGATGTTTTTCAGCGGCAAGGACTGAGAGACTAGTCAGGATCGAGGCAAAGATGAACGGAGCAAAGTACAGAGAGATCCTTGATGAAAACCTGCTCCAGAGCGCTCAAGAACTCAAACTTGGTCGAAGGTTCACCTTCCAACAGGACAATGACCCTAAGCACACAGCCAAGACAACGCAGGGGTGGCTTCGGGACAAGTCTCTGAATGTCCTTGAGTGGCCCAGCCAGAGCCAGGACTTGAACTCGATCGAACATCTCTGGAGAGACCTGAAAATAGCTGTGCAGCAACGCTCCCCTGCCAACCTGACAGAGCTTGAGAGGATCTGCTGAGAATTGGAGAAACTCCCCAAATACAGGTGTGCCAAGCTTGTAGCGTCATACCCAAGAAGACTCTATGCTGTAATCGCTGCCAAAGGTGCTTCAACAAAGTACTGAGTAAAGGGTTTGAATACTTATGTAAATGTGATATTTCAGTATTTTTGCAAAATGTCTAAAAACCTGTTTTTGCTTCGTCATTATGGGGTATTGTGTGTAGATTGATGAGGGGAAAAAACTATTTAATCAAATTTAGAATAAGGCTGTAACGTAACAAAATGTGGAAAAAGTTAAGGGTTCTGAATACCTTCCGAAGGCACTGTATGTGCATCTGGAATTTTCACTCAAATCTCCCATTGACAGTGAGATTGATTGTCAGTTACACAAAATAGTTACACACACACACATTTCCAGTTAGGATTGGGCCAGTACTGAGTAGTACAGTAAATAAAAATAAATAAAAAGCATATATCATATAATGATTGCACGAATGTAAATGTAATTCCATTTCTATAGTAAGTCCTTCTGCACCTGCTCCCTCCTGCTGTCGCTCAGTGTAATGCCAGGGGCGGCATTGTAGCAGGGTTTGGCCGTCCTCAGCTCCCCCAGGCCCGACTGGCCTTGCCTCTCACACGACCTGACCAGCTCCATAGCCGGCTTCACTTTGGGCCTGCTGCCCCAGGGAGTGGCTAAAGTAGGAGAGGGGAATGCATCAAAGAGCAACGTTAAAACACACAGACACGCACACACACACACAGCATTCAACAAAGAGAAAGCAAAAAGAAGAATCGCTTAACCTCTTACAGATCGGACCCTTTTTTTCTATTTTCGCCTAAAATGACATACCCAGATCGAACTGCCTGTAGCTCAGGACCTAAAGCAAGGATATGCATATTCTTGATACCATTTGAAAGGAAACACTTTGAAGTTTGTGGAAATGTGAAATTAATGTAGGAGAATATATAACATCCGATCTGGTAAAAGATAATACAAACAAAAAATGTGTTTTCTAATGATTCTTTTTTTCCATCATCTTTGAAATGCAAGAGAAAGGCCACAATATAATATTGCAGTTTAGGCGCAATTTTGATTTTGGCCCCTAGATGGCAGCAGTGTGTGTGCAAAGTTTCAGATTGATCCAGGGAAGCATTGCAATACTGGACTATTTTGTATCAAGTCTGCCCAAATGTGCCGAATTGGTCAATTGATACATTTTCAAGTACATAACTATATAGAACATACAAAAATGATATGGTAATACAAAATGTAAGTTTACACACTACCAGGAATGTCATACATGATGGATCATTAGCTTATACACTAACTTTCACACATCTAGATGGCAGGGCGGGGTGGGTGTGGAACAAGAGACAGCAGGGGTTCAAATTGTAGAACCCAGTTCCTACATTTGAATATATAAAATGGATTTCATCAAACAAAACTATGCTACATTTTATCTCTGGGACCCTTAGGATGACAAATCAGAGCAAGATTACTGAATGTAAGTACATTACTTACCTTCAGAGGTGAATGTATCAAACCAGTTGCCGTGATAAGCTTTTTGTTGTTGTGCACTGTCCTCAAAAATGGTATATTTTCACTGTAATAGCTACTGTAAATTGGACAGTGCAGTTAGATTAACAAGAATTTAAGCTTTCTGCCCATACAAGACATGTCTATGTCCTGGACAGTTTGCTGTTACTTACGACAGGCATGATAATCACATTAGCGCACGTTAGCTCAACCGTCCCGTTTGCGGGACACCGATCCTATAGAGGTTAACAGAACTAAATAATAAAGTACTGTTCCATTCTACTCTATTCTACAGTCTTTAGGTTGAGGCAGATATACACTACATGACCAAAAGTATGTGGACACCTGCTCGCCGAACATCTCATTCCAAAATCATGGGCATTTATATGGAGTTGGTCCCCCCTTTGCTGCTGTAACAGCCTCCACTCTTCTGGGAAGACTTTCCACTAGATGTTGGAACATTGCTGCGGGGACTTGCTTCCATTCAGCCACAAGAGCATTAGTGAGGTCGTGCACTGACGTTGGTTGATTAGGCCTGGCTTGCAGTCGGCGTTCCAATTCATCCCATAGGTGTTCGATGGGGTTGAGGAAAGAGCCGTCCTCAAACTGTTGCCACAAAGTTGGAAGCACAGAATCGTCTAGAATGTCATTGTATGCAGTAGCATTAAGATTTCCCTTCACTGGAACAAAGGGGCCTAGCCCGAACCATGAAAAACAGCCGCAGACCATTATTCCTCCTCCACCAAACTTTACAGTTGGCATTATGCAGTCGGGCAGGTAGCGTTCTCCTGGCATCCGCCAAACCCCAATTCGTCCATCAGACTGCCAGATGGTGAAGCGCGATTCATCACTCCAACGAATGTGTTTCCACTGCTCCAGAGTCCAATGGCGGCAAGCTTTACACCACTCCAGCCGACGCTTGGCATTGCACATGGTGATCTTAGGCTTGTGTGCGGCTGCTCTGCCATGGAAACCCATTTCATGAAGCTCCCGACGAACAGTTCTTGTGCTGACGTTTCCTCCAGAGGCAGTTTGGAACTCGGGAATGAGTGTTGCAACTGAGGACAGATTATTTTTATGCGCTTCGCGCTTCAGCACTTGACGGTCCTGTTCTGTGAGTTTGTGTGGCTTTCCACATCACGGCTGAGCCGTTGTTGCTCCTAGACGTTTCCACTTCACAATAACAGCACTTACAGTTGACCAGGGCAGCTGTAGCAGGGCAGGACTTTTTGGAAAGGTGGCATCCTATGACAGGCCATTCTACTGCCAATGTTTGTCTATGGAGATAGCATGGCTGTGTGCTCGGTTTTATACACCTGTCAGCAGTGGGTGTGGCTGAAATAATTGAATCTGCTAATTTGAAGGGGTGTCCACATACATTTGGCCATGTAGTGTACGTTGCAGGGTACCCACATGCTGCCATAACAATGCTAAAGGGGCTGGCTCCTGTCCCCCTCCCTCCTCCGCTGCTGGTGATGAATGTGCTGGACTCTGACACCCTCCTCTTGGCTGGAGTCACCATCTGGGATAACACGAACAGTGTGTGTATGTGTGCATTTCCTTATAAGACCATACTCAGAATATCACACAAGCCACCAATGGTATTTACTAACTGGTGTCCTGCGGTCTTTGTCCACTTACAGGAGTACACTGTGCCTAGCTTTACATGGCATTAAATACTCCACACTCAGATTACCACTGGGAAGTAACTAGCTAGTTATCAGTCACAAAAAATGTATGCACGCATGACTGTAAGTCGCTTTGGATAAAAGCGTCTGCTAAATGGCATATTATATTATTATTATTTACCTGTAAAGGCCCAGCGGGACGAGGGGGTAGCAGACAGGGGACACGGTCCCTCTCTCTCTCCACGTCAGCATCGGGGGACATCTGACTCTCGGGAACAAGAGCCTGTTTGGATATGACTGTCTATCAGTCTCCTTCCTAACATTTCCCAGGCAATGCAATCACATAGGGCAAACACATTGGCATTTGTGGTGGTGTGAAGACATTTGCTGTGTGTTGGAACACCAATACTGTTTTATATTAAAGAATAATCCACTGAAAACCACAAATTCCTATGATTTACATTGTTAAATAATGCAAATATGCGAGAACAATATATGTTGTGAAATGTTTTTGCATTTTGGAGTTGTAAGTTATGAAGCAACGTGAAAATTGTTGTGGAAATCTGCAGAGCGCAAATTGACCACAAAACCCACAATGCAATGCTCTCTCTAGAAAGGCTGGCTGGCTAGCTAGGTAGTTAGCTAGAAAACGCAGCTACACACAATAATACCAAAGTCATTTTTTGTGTGTTTCTAAACACCTATAACTGCCCCATTTCCTGCAATCTAGAGCTAAAATAAATACCCCATTAGGGTGTGGTGCCTGGCCTTAAATGATAACAAATAAAGTAAAAAATATATAAATTATATATATATTCGTTTTTTGTAACTAATATATTTATTTATTTTTACATAGTGGTACAGACAGTCCACAAGGTAGGGACAGCACCAATCTTACAGTCTTTGGGGAGAACCCTGTATGAACTATCACTACTATCCGAGAGTGCAGATTCTTCTGCCTTTTCACCGTACAATTGCTGTCTGATTGCAAGATGAACAGGGAGTAGACTACACAGGATGCCAATGCTTACCTGGGAGCAGTTGTCATCCATAACAATCTTGACTGTGGTCTTCACGACAGAGGATCTGCTCTTGCCCACAAACGACTGACAGGAAACAAGGAAACAGGCCTTCGTATCAGTACATCGCCCCAAGATATACAGTGCATTCGGAAAGTATTCAGACCCCTTGACTTTTTCCACATTGTGTTACGTTAGAGCCTTATTCTAAAATGGATTAAATACATTTTTTTCAATCTACACACAATACCCCATAATGACGAAGCGAAACCAGTTGTTTTTTTTCTTCATTTTTTTTTACATTCATTACAAATAAAAAACAGAAATACCTTATTTACATAAGTATTCAGACCCTTTGCTATGAGACTAGAAATTCAGCTCAGGTGCATCCTGTTTCCATTGATCAGTCTTGAGATGTTTCTACAACTTGATTGGAGTCCACATGAGGTAAATTCAATTAATTGGATTTGGAAAGGCACACACCTGTCTATATAAGGTCCCACAGTTGACAGTGCATGTCAGAGCAAAAACCAAGCCATGAGGTTGAAGGAATTGTCCGTAGAGCTCCGAGACAGGATTGTGTCGAGGCACAGATCTGGGGAAGGGTACCAAAAAATGTCTGCAGCATTGAAGGTCCCCAAGAACACAGTGGCCTCCACCATTCTTACATGGAAGAAGTTTGGAACCACCAAGACTCTTCCTAGAGCTGGCCGCCCGGCCAAACTGAGCAATCGGGGGACAACGGCCTTGGTCAGGGAGGTGACCAAGAACCCAATGGTAACTCTGACAGGGCTCCAGAGTTCCTCTGTGGAGATGGGAGAACCTTCCTGAATGACAACCATCTCTGCAGCACTCCACTAATCAGGCCTTTATGGTAGAGTGACAAGCTGGCTGGTGATTTACGGACATATTCCATCTCTCCCTATCCCAGTCTGCTGTCCCCACATGCTTCAAGATGGCCACCATTGTTCCTGTACCGAAGAAAGCAAAGGTAACTGAACTAAATGAGTATCGCCCCGTAGCACTCACCTCTGTCATCATGAAGTGCTTTGAGAGACTAGTCAAGGATCATATCACCTCTACCTTACCCTAAACCCACTTCAATTTGCTTACCGCCCCAATAGATCCACAGACGATGCAATCGCCATCACACTGCACACTGCCCTATCCCATCTGGACAAGAGGATTACCTATGTAAGAATGATGTTCATCGACTATAGCTCAGCATTCAACACCATAGTACCCTCCAAGCTCATTATTAAGCTTGAGGCCCTGGGTCTGAACCCCGCCCTGTGCAACTGGGTCCTGGACTTCCTGACGGGCTGCCCCCAGGTGGTGAAATTAGGAAACAACACCTCCACTTTGCTGATCCTCAACACTGGGGCCCCACAAGGGTGCGTGCTCAGCCCCCTCCTGTACTCCCTGTTCACCCATGACTGCGTGGCCAAGCACGCCTCCAACTCAATCATCAAGTTTGCAGACGACACAACAGTAGTAGGCTTGATTACCAACAATGACGAGACAGCCTACAGGGAGGAGGTGAGGGCTCTGGGAGTGTGGTGCCAGGAAAATAACCTCTCACTCAACGTCAACAAAACAAATTACATGATTGTGGACTTCAGGAAACAGCAGAGGGTGCACCCCCCTATCCACATCGACGGGACGGCAGTGGAGAAGGTGGAAAGTTTCAAGTTCCTTAGCGTACACATCACTGACGATCTGAAATGGTCCACCCACACAGACAGTGTGGTGAAGAAGGCGCAACAGAGCCTCTTCAACCTCAGGAGGCTGAAAACATTTGGCTTGGCACCTAAAACCCTCACAAACTTTTACAGATGCACAATTGAGAGCATCCTGTTGGGCTGTATCACCGCCTGGTATGGCAACTGCAATGCCCGCAACCGCAGGGCTCTCCAGAGGGTGTTGCGGTCTACCGAACACATTACCGGGGGCAAACTACCTGCCCTCCAGGACACCTACAGCACCCGATGTCACAGGAAGGCCAAAAAAATTATCAAGGACATCAACCACCCGAGCCACTGCCTGTTCACCCCGCTATCATCCAGAAGGGGAGGTCAGTACAGGTGCATCAAAGCTGGGACCGAGAGACTGAAAAACAGCTTCTATCTCAAGGCCATCAGACTGTTAAATAGCCATCCCTAACACATTAGAGGCTGCTGCTGCCTATAGAAATCACTGGCCACTTTAAGAAAGGGAACACTAGTCACTTTAATAATGTTTACATATTTTGCATTACTCATCTCATATGTATATACTGTATTCTATAATATTCTACTGTATCTTAGTCCATGCCGCTCTGTCATTGCTCGTCCATACATGTATATATTCTTAATTCCATTCCTTACTTAGATTTGTGTGTATTGGGTATACGTTGTGAAACTGTTAGATATTACTTGTTCGATATTACTGCACCGTCGGAGCTAGAAGCACAAGCATTTTGCTACACCCGCAATAACATCTGCTAAACACGTGTATGTGACAAATAAAATTTGATTTGAGTAAAAGGCACATGACAGCCCGCTTGGAGTTTGCCAAAAGGTACCTAAAGGACTCTCAGGCCATGAGAAACAAGATTCTCTCGTCTGATGAAACCAAGATTGAACTCTTTGGCCTGAATGCCAAGTATCACGTCTGGAGGAAACCTGGCACCATCCCTACGGTGAAGCATGGTGGTGGCAGCATCATGCTGTGGGGATGTTTTTCAGCGGCAGGGACTGGGAGACTAGTCAGGATCGAGGGAAAGATGAATGGAGCAAAGTACAGAGAGATCCTTGATGAAAACCTGCTCCAAAGCACTCAGGACCTCAGACTGGGGCGAATGTTCACCTTCCAACAGGACAATGACCCTAATCACACAGCCAAGACAATGCAGGAGTGACAAGTCTCTGAATGTCCTTGAGTGGCCCAGCCAGAGCCCGGAATTGAACGCGATCGAACATCTCTGGAGAGACCTGAAAATATCTGTGCAGCGACGCTCCCCATCCAACCTGACAGAGATTGAGAGGATCTGCAGAGAAGAATGGGAGAAACTCCCCAAATACAGGTGTGCCAAGCTTATAGCGTCATACCCAAGAAGACTCAAGGCTGTAATCGCTGCCAAAGGTGCTTCAACAAAGTACTGAGTAAAGGGTCTGAATACTTATGTAAATGTGATATTTCAGTTATTTTTTATTATTTTTTGCTAAAATGTCTAAAAACATGTTTTTCCTTTGTCATTATTGGGTATTGTGTGTAGATCTAAAAAAACGATTTAATCAATTTTAGAATAAGGCTGTAATGTAACAAAATGTGGAAAAAGTCAAGGGGTCTGAATACTTTCCGAATGCACTGTAAGCCTCCAACAGTTAGGCCAAAAAACACATTTATTATCATGGATTGATTTGTGAAGTATGCACTCATTTGCAATGATAACGATTTTTTTAACACTGTGAAATTGACTTTTGTTTCCCAATTTATTTAAAATGTGATATTAGTTAATGATCCTTTTAAGATGGCAACAGATTTGGAAAAAGTTCACTAATATCACTATAAGGCTGTCACTCAAACGTGGCTGTCACTCAGTACTGCTGCTAAATACTGATCCAAGACCAGGGGTCATAGGTGTCAGAGTAGGAGTGCTAATTTAGGATCAGTTTTACCTTGTAGTTCACAAAGAATAAGATTACATGTACAGGCTGATCCTAGACCAGCACTCCTACTGCGAGACACTCAGTGGTATAAAAAGTACCCAATTGTCATACTTGAGTAAAAGTATAGATACCTTAATAGAAAGTTACTCAAGTAAAAGTGAATGTCACCCAGTAAAATACTACTTGAGTAAAAGTCTAAAAGTTTTTGGTTTTAAATATACTTAAGTATCAAAAGTAAATGTAATTGCTAAAATATACTTAAGTATCAAAAGTTGAAGTAAAAGTATAAATAATTTCAAATTCCTTATATTAAGCAAAGCTGATGGCACCATTTTCTTGTTTTTTAAATGTACGAATAGCCAGGGGCACACTCCAACACTCAAACATGATTTACAAAATATGAATTTGTGTTTAGTGAGTCCGCCAGACCATAGGCAGTAGGGATGACCACGTGTTCTCTTGATAAGTGCGTACATTTCACAATTTTCCTGTGCTGCTAAGCATTCAAAATGTAACAAGTACTTTGGGTTGTCAGGGGAAATGTATGGAGTAAAAAGTACAATATTTTCTATAGGAATGTAGTGAAGTAAAAGTAAAAGTTGTCAAAAATATAAATAGTAAAGTAAAGTACAGATACCCAATAAAACTACTTAAGTAGTGTATTAAAGTAAAGTAAGACACTACATAGGGCCACAGTTCTCAGGCTTGGGGCCAACTTGTCTCCTGTTAGCAGGGTCGTATTCACTAGAAACCAAACGGAACAAAACCTGGCGAACCGGGGAAGGACCTACCTGAACTTGTCCAATAAGAAACTCTCATTTGCTTTTCCACGGTACACACTAATGAATACACCGCGTTAGATAGAAACGCTACCTACTTTGTTCTTGTGTCCGTAGACGCTCCTGGCTGCCTGCAGGATGTCCAGGGAGGAGCTGAAGTGGATGGTGAGGTGGGAGCCCTCCACCCCGCTCACACACAGTGGCTCCAACAGCTTCAGCTTCAGCACCCTCCTCCTACCCTCCTCTAGACAGAGAGCACACACACATACACATACACACACACACACACACAGACAGGGAGGCAGTTTTCAGTACACACGACACACACACACACACAATCACGTACACACCAGTGTGTTTTCCGTACACACACATACAGACACACACACACACACCAGGGCGTTTTCAGCTATATGAAATGTGCCGAAACGTTGCAGATAGAAATGTATTGAATAGAGCTGACGCCATTCCCTATTTCTACATGGTGGATGATCGTATCTGTTCTACGCAACACCTTCTTTCCACCCTACTAGATGGCTAGCTATGGCTTGTGGGCTGAGAGAAAAGGTGAGTGTATGTCCATATATGTTTGGTTACCTGTGACCGTGTAACTGTGGACTTCATTCTCAGGGATGCAGGCTGTGTCCCACTGACCTTCCTGTGGAAAAATTCCAATACAAATGTTTTGCTGACCTGCAACGGTAACCAGTTCTACAACTGATCCCCCTAATTCTGAATCTATCCTATCCACCTAACACGGACTCTTGACTCGGACTCTGAGGGAAAGTCAATTCCAAATATAACATGCAATGCTGCCAATGGTAGAGTGAGGAATTGATGACTATATTATACAGATTATACAAGATAGAAAAAGTAGGCCATGTGGCTATGTCAAGTAGATTTGATCAACATTCAGATTAGGACTCATTTCACTTTGTGCATTACTGTCCGTCAAATAAACCTCGGTCGGTAAGGGGTGGTTTCCTGGACCCAGATTAAGCATGGCTCTGGACTTTAATGGAGATTCTCCATTGAGAATGATTTTGAATCCAGGACTAGCCTTAATCTAGGTCCGGGAAACCACCCCTTAGTGTTCACAGTCATGTAAAGTGTCAGCAGTACCTGTGCATACTCATCGGGGAGAGAGAAGTAGAAGGAGACGCTCTGACTTCCCAGGTTGAAGTCGATCCAGAACTCCTCCAGTTTCTCATCTGCGGGCATCAGCAACTGGGGGCACACATCACTGTTGACTCAATCGGCCAAGTTGAATATCTCTTAAGCAACTGAAAAACGTCACACTTATGCAAAACATTTGGCTTCCATGCATTAACTGTGTGTGTGTGTGTGTGTGTGTGTGTGTGTGTGTGTAGGGACTGACCTCATGTTTGTCCAGAAACACCTCCAGACAAGGGTAGGAGAACACTCTGGGGGCAGGAAAACAACAGGGATATGTTGTGATATACTGTAGTAGTAGAGCCGTTTGAGTTTTACAGTGTGATCACTAATCAAAGGTGTGTCTGTGTACCTTCTCCCATCTCCCTGCATCCCATTCACCAGGTTTAGAAACCTGCGGCAGTCCTGCAAAAATAGACACGTTGCACATTGTCCCATTAAGCATTATAGAATACATGTAATTAAGTGATAATGCCTTCAAAGCTGGTGTTTGGAGGATATATTGGCACAGGTGCCAATATATCCTTGGTAACAATGGGTTACCAACATATTCAAATAATGATTTACATATTTTCATTAAAAATGTTATTTTGATTAATTTATTCATACTATTCCATCCTTCCAGTCTCGGGTTGCTACCCAAGCCGGCTGGTCGTTCGTTCTATCGGTTCAGTTGCCAGATACGCGACCCAGTCTTTTTGTTCTGTATCTATGGACACAATCCAGTCGTTCGTTCTAAATGTTCAATTGCCATACTGGCTGGCAGCGTTCTTATCCCTTGCTTGCTAGCTAGCCAACTACGGTTAACTTACAGTCACGTCAAACAGTGCAGCCAGAATAACAGCAAAGTAGCTGAATTTGCGTTTGTTTTAGCAGTTTTTTTTTTCTAATTACATTTATTTGGATACATCCATAACAATGAGCGAATGATGCGCGATTTCACCTGGCGTAGAAAATGTGCCGTCTCGTCAGGACACTTGTTCAGAGGAGCTAGCCAACAACACAGCTAACATAATCACTTCAAACTGAAGCTGGAAAGACAGCAAACTAGCTGCACTTCGTTTCGTTTGACCTGTTTTCTATTGATAGTTATTTGTATATATCCATAAAAATGATGCTGATTCATAATTTCGACTGGCTGAGAAAAGATGCCTGCCTGTCTGTCTCATCCCGATGCGATGTTTTGTATACTCAGTGTATATGATCATTTCAACCATATGGCATTGTCTTTCACTAATTTAGACTAATTCTACCTAGTAACAAGCCTGCAGATTTGCAGTTAAACTTCCGAATCACATCTGCACAACGCAATGTAAATTCAAGTGCAATCCAACTTGGCACAGATGTCAATTCAACATCTATTCCACGTTGGTTCAATGTAATTTCATTGAAATGACGTGGAAACAACGTTGATTCAACCAGTGTGACCCAGTGGGATGTTGTTTCAAATCTGGGTTGGTTTGAATCCCGGCCTGGGTTTGGCTATAACGGCCAGGCTTTACCGTCTCAAACTCAGAGTCCTGAATTTTGCTGAAGGTGCTGGCAACAAACTCCATGGAGAACCAGTGGTCAGCCAGCTCCTTCCGCTGTGCACGGGTGGTCATCCTACACAGGGCCTCCATCAAGGCTATCTGCAGGTCATAATCTACAGAGAAGAAAGAGAAAGAGAGAGAAAAGGGGGGGGGGGGGGGGGGGGGAGAGAGAAAAAGTGTCTGTATATGTGTGTGGCCTCTAATGTAAGCATCCCACTGGGCAAAAACTGGTTGAATCAACGTTGTTTCCATGTCATTTCAACAAAAAATGTGATGACGTTAAATCAGCATGGAAAACTGATTAGATTTGCAAAAAGTAATCAACGTAAGGGAATTTCCTATTTTTTTCACCCAACTTTTAACCTAAATCCAATGACACGGTGAAATGGATTTCACAACAACTCAACCGAATGTAAATCAAAACTAGAAGTTGAAATGACGTCAGTGCCCAATGTGATGGTTCAAATCTAACGCATGCCAGAACAGGGCACTGGCGGGGCAATTACCTCCACCCTCTACAATTCGACTGGCCAGGTTGTTCCTGTGGAATGAAGCAGACAAACCAGTCAACCAATCAACCAACAAACCAACCAGACAAACCAATCAATAGAGTTCAATGGTTAAACTATGTCACGACATGCCTCGCTCATATCAATATCATATCAAATGATTGATATAGGTGACCACCAGTTATCCTACTGTGGGGTTCTGTTGACACAGGGCATTACAGATGGCCACAGTACGATAAATAGAATACATCCATCAGTTGAAGTAAAGAATTGAATGTATCAGGATACAGTCCTCGGCATCACATACATGACATCTGAGGCCTCTTGAGACGATAAGATCTTCTTCTCCTTCTTGAGCTCCGCGGGGATCTTATCCAGAATGATGTTCAGTTTCCGAATAGCCTATGAAAAATGGCATGGACTCAAGTCAATGTACCTTATAATCACGTTTCAAATTTCATTCAAAAAGGATCTTGAAGTTTAAAACCATGTCATTGAGCTACACAATCCCTTTCAAAGACTTGGACAAAGAGACCCAAGTTGGTTCATTTGCCTCAATAATGCAAAACATAATATAATGCATTATAGTAGTAACTTCTGCAGCTGAACCCATGTAGATCACTTTATAGGCCATATTCTTTCTACACTTTTGAAATGTGGCATTACTTTGGTCTCTGTTGAAAGAACTCTCCCTCACCTCTTTCTGGATCATTATGTGGACTCTTGGGTCTGCAGCCAGCTGGCCAATGAGATGTAGAAAGCATTCAGTGACCTGATATGTTCCTAAAACACATACAGTAATACATTTGGTTAATTTAATGTATTGAACAAAGCTCTCAATTAAACACAGACATGCTTGTGTCCTAGCATGTTTTATGATAAGACAAGAGGAGCAAAAACTTTTTTTTTTTTTTTAAAATGCACACATACCCTCTTGACTTGATTCATGAACAACCTATTGGAGGAAAAACAAAGCTGCAGATAATGACAGCTAAAATGCTAATTTTTTTTTACGTTAGCTGGAAAATAAACTACTTCAATTATTTAACTATTTTATAAACAGCAATTGTCTGGTCAAGCACATTTGACTGTATTTCCACATTCAATGCTCACCATTACAGAGTCAAATAAGTCTTCAGCGAGGTTTAGCAAGGTCTCATTCCTCTGTGTGCATGCCTCGATCCACAACAGCCTTGCTTTCTCAAACCACTGCACCATGTGCACACAGACAGACAGATACACAATCCACCACTCAATATAAATATATTTACATAAAGTATAGCTCATACAATAAACATAATCCAGATATAATATGGTTGTAAATGTAGGGTGGACATATACACTCAGTGGCCAGTTTATTAGGTACACCCACCTAGTACTGGGTCAGACCCCCCTTTGCCTCCAGAACAGCCTGAATTCTTCGGGGCATGGAAACATTGTTCAATTGGTATCAAGGGACCTAACGTGTGCCAGGAAAACATTCCCCACACCTCTACACCACCGCCACTAGACTGTACCGTTGACACCAGGCAGGATGGTGCCATGGACTCATGCAACTTACGCCAAATCCTGACTCTGCCATCGGCATGACGCAACAGGAACCGGGATTACCAGACTATGTTTTTCCACTCCTCAATTGTCCAGTGTTGGTGATCGCGTGCCCACTGGAGCCGCCTCTTCTTGTTTTTAGCTGATGGGAGATGAACCCCACTCCCGATGTGGTTGTCTGCTGCAATAGCCCATCTGTGACAAGGACTGACGAGTTGTGCGTTCTGAGATGCCGTTCTCCACACCACTGTTGTACTGCGCCGTTATTTGCCTGTTTGTGGCCCGCCGGTTAGCTTGCACGATTCTTGCCATTCTCCTTCAACCTCTAATCAACAAGCTGTTTTTCGCCCACAGGACTGCCGCTGACTGGATGTTTTTTGTTTGTCGCACCATTCTCGGTAAACCCTAGACACTGTTGTGCGTGAAAAGCCCAGGAGGCCGGCTGTTTCTGAGATACTGGAACCGGCAAGCCTGGCACCGACGATCATATCCACGCTCAAAGTCGCTTAGGTCACTCGTTTAGCCCATTCGAACATTCAATCTAACAGTAACTGAATGCCTCGATGCCAGTCTGCCTGCTTTATATAGCAAGCCACGGCCACGTGACTCACTGTCTGTAGGAGCAAACTGTTTTCGTGAACGGGTCACTGGCCACTGGGTGTATAATAGGGTTGAAATACTTATCTTTTTGACAAGACCTTGGAGTACCATCCAAGATAAGCCTTGACCTCCAGGTAAAGCCAGATTTTTCCCAAATTTGTGCAGGATGGCGAGTCCCAAACAAGCATGCTTGACATTTCTGTGATCTAATTCCTAAACAAGGTAAGAAAACATGTATCCACATAAAATACTAAACCAAAACAGGGAGGAATGTGAATAGACTGTCCTTAGCTAGCTACTTGCAAATAAAGTGCATTTACTCACAAATGGGATTACTCCTGGGCAACAGCATCCAAAGACACATATCATTTAGCTAGTGAGTTGAGCAGAATAATGTAACGTTACAGTCCATCCTTACCCTACTAACAAGTTTGTCCAATTTGGCGAGGAATTGTTTGGAACATTTCAAAGTTGTCCCCTCGACATGATCTTGCAAGAAGTCATCCAATGGCTGAAAATTGCTGTTCTTCAGCACCTCATCAACCAGCTTCTCCAACTGCAAGAACAGGGTTAGCAGATACTTGTCATAGCTAGCTAGAAAGTAGATACCAAGTTTAAGTTAATATAACTAAAATGTTCACATACTAGACATACTTTCAACAGTTTTTTGTTTTTTACCTGTGGGTCCTGACGTGGTGCCATCATACATTCACACACTGTGAAAGATCATTAAATTAAAGTGGATCTTCTTTAGATACGTGTAATCCTTAGCTAAAGCTAGCTAGCTTATAATAAGTGGCATACTGTGTTGTCACCATAGATTTAAAAAGCAGGTTGTCACTCAGAGATAAGATCGCTAACCTTAGATAGCAACGTTAGCCACCTAACGTTTAATAGTTAACGTTAGCTAGCTAACGATTCCGGTACATTGAACATAACAACATTACACTCTTAATTTGGTAAATACACAATGGTGATCGTAATGAGTGCGACTGAATACATTAAGTTTTTGACTAAATATATGTTATTCTAGCTTGCAAATTATCAACATAGCTAGCTACCTGTCAGTTTTCCTCAGTGAAGTTGTGAGTAGAGATGGAGGCTGGAGCGCGCGAAAATAATGGTAAACCAGCATGCGCGCCGTGTGTAAGGTGCGCAGATAATGCACACAAAGTGCGTCTCCTTTTTCCAGAAGTGTACACTCGTTCACTACTTCCCACAAATCTAAAAGCACTGGATTAGTGGAGGCATTGGCTAGCTAGACGGAGTTTCCAACATTCCTATACCAGCTAGATCAGTTAAGGGAAGTGTACTAGTGCACACTTTCGGAGGAAGGAGAGATGATTGGGATGTGACCAGAGATGAGAATGGCCAAATACTGAGTCAGACTGATCAATGATTAGCAACTGATTAGTCATTACGGTTACATGCATACAATAATGCGTTTATTGTGGATAGTCAGATTAATATAATAGTTCGATAAAAAAAAGTTTACATGCTTTGCAAGAACAACGATTCCCCTAATAATCCTGTTTACATGGACACATCTGAAAATCAGTCTACCTGATGGCACCCTGATAAATGCAGAAAATCGCCAATCAAAATAAACGTTCTACCACAGCGACCATGTTATTTTTGGGAAGCATATTTCATTCTGAATTCCGACATATAAAGTTTGTATGTGGAAAACTACTTATAAGATGCAAAGTTACACTCCATGGCCAAAAGGATGTGGACACCCCTTAAAATGAGTGGATTCGGCTATTTCAGCCACACACGCTGTTGCTGACAGGTGTATAAAATCGAGCACACAGCCATGCAATCTCCACAGACAAACATTGGCAGTAGATATATGTAAACATGATTAAAGTGACTAGTGTTCAATTTCTTAAAGTGGCCAGTGATTTCAATAGGCAGCAGCAGCCTCTTGTGGCTGAATGGAAGCAAGTCCCTGCAACAATGTTCCAACATCTAGTGGAAAGCCTTCCAGAAGAGTGGAGGCTGTTATAAATTAGAAGCAAAGGGGGGACCAACTCCATATTAATGCCCATGATTTTGGAATGAGATGTTCAACGAGCAGGTGTCCACATAATTTTGGTCATGTAGTGTATGTTTGTAAGCAGGTTGACTGATCTGACTTTTCTCTTACTGCAAGCTATTATATGAACTGTTTGACCTACTATGACACACACATTTTCATCCCAATATAGAGACATATAGGCTACCAACCGGCTACTTGATGTAGTCAGACTTATTTAAAATATTTCCACCTTTTATTCTGTATGCAAGACCTAAAATAAGATTAATCCATTGATTATGTAATTTATAAAGACGGTTTGGTTGTTTAGCAACTATGGGGCTAACATGTAATCTATACTTCGTCTCCAAGGTTTATTGAAAACACAAATACATTTTCACAACAAGCACTTAACCACAGTTTAACCATATCATTGACATGAAATCAGTCAAAACACCTCAAAACAAGACATGGTATCAAGAACAAGATGAAACGAGTCACTTATGATTCACCACATGGCAGTTTGTCATTGTTGGTAGCTATTTGGACATCCAGAATCACAACAACTCAAAGACTTCTGCCACATTGAAGCATGTGCATCATTTTCGTGACGCTGTCAGCTAACTCATTTAGTCAACCACATAAAAACTGATAGTCCATTAAAATGTTCACATCATACATTTCGGTTTTGTTTTCAGATTTTGTCACCAATTAAAATAAATATTTGAAAAAGAAAAAATGGTTTAAGCACAACTATGACAAAAGCTTAATAGCTGAATATTATATAAACACCAAATATGACAATAATCTTTTTCAGTAAATAGATGAGATGACAGCTTAGGCCTACAAGTAATGACCTGATTCTTTACTGCTACAAAATGGAAATTTCCTTTCACTCACACCCAATCTCCAGTTCACCAGGACTAGCACCTACATATTTTGACATACAACACACACCTGATTCTCTGCCTGTGCATAACATTTATTCATACATAATATCTTTGTTTATGCATACTTACAAGCAGAATGCATTATCTTACAGTTCACATCTACAGAGACATTTCCATTCCATCCAGACCTGTAAGTAGAAGTATTTTTTGAACTCTTTCATCGCAAAACTTTGTAAAAGCCATTGGTGACATAACATTATACCTACACTGAATGTACAAAAGATTAGGAACACCTTCCTAATATTGAGTTGCACCCCCACTTTTTCCCTCAGAACAGCCTCAATTCATCAGGGCATGGACTCTAAATGGTGTCGAAAGCGTTCCACAGGGATGCTGGCCCATGTTGACACCAATGCTTCCCACAGTTGTGTCAAGTTCGCCGGATATCCTTTGGGTGGTGGACCATTCTTGATACACACGGGAAACTGTTGAGCGTGAAAAACCCAGCAGCGTTGCAGTTCTTGACACACTCAAACCGGTGCGCCTGGCACCTGCTACCATACCCCTTTCAAAGGCACTTAAATATTTTGTTTTGCCCATTCACCCTCAATGGCACACATACACAATCCATGTCTCAATTGTCAGAAGGCTTAAAAATCCTTCTTTAATCTGTCTCCTCCCCTTCATCTACACTGATTGAAGTGGATATAACAGGTGTCATCAATAAGGGATCATAGCTTTCACCTGGTCAGTCTATGTCATGGACAGAGCAGGTGTTCCTAAGGTTTTCTACACTCAGTGTATGCTCTCCATACCTGTGCATCCCACTTCCTGGTCACCTGTGTGTCTAACTGTAAGTCGCTCTGGATAAGAGCATCTGCTAAATGACTCAAATGTAAATGTATATACTCTATACAGTATACTGTATGTGACCAGTGAACCATGACCCAACATTTATTGCCCTCTAGTGTACAAATTCAGTGGAATGTGCAAAGACAGACAAACTAGACAACACAACACAACAACCACCTAAATTGGCCAAAATGGCTCCTACAGTTATCATTACAATAATACATTGTGCAATTAAGTATGAAAAATGTATGCACTCACTAACTGTAAGTCGCTCTGGATAAGAGCGTCTGCTAAATGACTAAAATGTAAATGTAAAATTAAACAAAACGGTTCATTCCTGATGAGTATGATAGCATAAAATCTAATACACAGTCTACCAAATACATATTCAGAAAATAATTATCTGAAATTCAATACTTAAGGATAGTAACAATGATTCCTTGTACAATTAGCAAATGTCAAAAGTACAACTCCATATAGTTGGACACACAAAAAAATATAATTCTCTCTTTGTCATAATGGGCACGTGAAAATTATAATTCCATAATAGTTGAACACACACACAAAATGATATAATATGTTATAATATAATAATGTAATATAATAGAATGCTCCAACAGAGGTGTCATGCCCATAGGGGTTACAGGGGCCCCCTCAAATTGTTTTGTTGTTGTTGTTTCTCTGTAATACTACTAGCCACCTAGCAATTTTATGAAGTTGGCTTTAGCTAGCCCAGATAGGTACTTGTGCTATGTCATGACTTACCTGGAAATCAGGTAAATCAGGTGAGCAGCAGTGGTGAAAAAAGTACCAAAATATCATACTTGAGTAAAAGAAAAGATACCTTAATAGAAGATGACTCAAGGAAAAGTGAAAGTAACACAGTAAAAGTCTAAAAGTATTTGGTTTTAAATATACTTAAGTATCAAAAGTAAATGTAATTGCAAAAATATACTTAAGTATCAACAGTAAAGTGTAATTCATTTCAAATTGATTATATTAAGCAAACCAGACAGCACAATTTTCTTGTCTTTACTTTATTTACGGATAGCCAGGGGCACACTCCAACAGTCAGACATAACAACCAGGGATGTTCTCAATTTTCCTGTCCTGCTAAGCATTCAAAATGTAATGAGTACTTTTGGGTGTCAGGGAAAATGTATGGAGTAAAAAGTACATTATTTTCTTTAGGAATGTACTGAAGTAAAAGTAAAGTTGTCAAAAATATAAATAGTAAAGTAAAGTACAGATACCCCCAAAAAACACTTAAGCAGTACTTTACACCACTGGCGAGTAGCTTGTCCTGACCAGTGGCATTCTGGATGTTTTAAAGTTGTTTTTGGTGTTGGTAGCATTTACAGTTTTGGCGCTACAGCGGGCAGTGCAGCAAAATAATAATAAGTGTGAACAGTTTCTAAAGTTGTGCTTTGCTTTCAGCTAGATCACCTAAATATTGTATGCTGATGACTCCAGGTGAGCAATCACAGCTTTTGAGTATAGACTGGGTGAGAGATAGTTATATGGGTAGTTGGGTGAGAGGGGTCATTCCACCATTTCGGTGCATTTTGAGAAGTGTAATTTGGTCAAATAATACTTTTTATTTCACCTAATTGTAACATTCTGTCATAAAGAGCACATGTTCAACTTGATAAAAAACAGTTTTTTCCATATCAAGAGGTTAAATACAAAAATGAGGAGAGTAAGTGCCTATTAAAGTGCCAAAATAAAGTAACAGGGTTGACCGTAACAGGGTTGACGATTTCATCTTAAATCAGCCATAAATCCCCTTGTGACAGGGGGGATGGAAGCTTGTTGTGTGCAACAGGAAGTGGCAATTGAATGCAAGCTTCACCCAAAAAAATACATTGTTAAAACATTTGTAGCCTGTCTATCTATGGGTAACAGGGTTGACACGTTATGCTCGACCCGCTCAGTTTTCCACC